ATATATATATAATGTCGTACCTAGTAGCCAGAACGCACTTCTCGGCCTACTATGCAAGGCCCGATTTGCCTAATAAGCCAAGTTTTCATGAATTAATGTTTTTTTTCGACTACCTAGCCTAACTTTTTCTGCTACCTAACCTAACCTATAAAGATAGGTTAGGTAGGGTTGGTTAGGTTCGGTCATATATCTCCGTTAATTTTAACTCCATTAAAAAAAAATTGACCTCATACATAATGAAATGGGTAGCTTTATCATTTCATAAGAAAAAAATTAGAGAAAATATATTAATTCATGAAAACTTGGCTTATTAGGCAAATCGGGCCTTGCATATTAGGCTGAGAAGTGCGTTCTGGCTACTAGGTACGACATATATATATATATATATATATATATATATATATATATATATATATATATATATATATATATATATATATATATAATGTTAAATATGACCGAAAAAGTAAGATTAATAATTCTAACACGAATTTTCTCAAAATATCTTGTTTCTTTTCACTGTCGATTTTTACACCATCGACAATGAAAAGAAACATAAGAAATATTGAGAAAATTCGTGTTAGAATTATTAATCTTACCTTTTCGGTCATATTTAACAACATATGTTTACAAGAAAGACTGCTACCAAAATATACCAATATATATATATATATTATATACATATATATTATACATATATATTATACACGCCTGCCAAAAAATTTGTACCTCAATGAAGAAATAATTATGTATATTGCTTAGCATTCAGTTTTCTATTCTCACATCCCTTGAGAATACTTTCTCCTGACCAACAGTGGAAACTGTAGCTGCGAAAATCACAAAGCCTTCGGATTTTGCGTGACTAAGATCCTTGCAGCATTGTATCAAAAGCTTTTAAGCAATCTTGGAAAATGCTGCATGCACATCCTTCCCTCTGGCCTGCCTACATATCACCTCCCAACAGGATTTAGAGGTCTTGGTAAACATTGGTTCAAATTTACGGTGAGATGAATATCCTGTTTGTAAAGCAAGAGTGAGAATGATGCAACATGGGGTTTTAATTTTACTGGCAGAAAAACACAATTGGTACTTGGATTCTTGACGAGCAAGAGTAGATCTGTCGTAATATAATTACATAGGATACCCGGCTGTGCCCGGGTTTCTTTTCCCCCAATTCCCTATTCTTTCACTCTCCTCCTCCTCTCTTGCTTATTTCCCTCATCTAGTGTCCCCTCATCCCCATTTCCAACTTTCTCCTCGAAGATCCACACACCATCCTCCACTCTACCAATCTACTCTCCCTCTACTACTCTCTTCATCTTCACCTCCTCTCTCCCAATATTCTCGCTCTCCCCCCCCCCCTCTCTCACCACTCCCCCCTCCTCTCTCACCACTCCCCCCTCCTCTCTCACCTCTCCCCCCTCTCCCACCTCTCCCCCCCCCCCTCTCCACTTCCCTCCCTCTCAGTCTGTCTTCTCTGTCCCTCCTTTCCCCTCTCCCAGCATCCCCATCTCCTTCCCTCTATTCCCTCCTACCCCCCCCCTCCCACTTCGTTCCTCACTATCTTTCCCTGTCTCGGAAAATGTAATACTGAATTCGCGTTCATCATTTTCCAGTCATGTCTGCGCCCGGGTCTATCCTCCCCCCTCCCCCCTGTCTTCCAATCTTTCCCCCTCTCTCATCTCTCCCTATTCCATTCTCTTTCCCTCTACCCCCATCTCCCCCCCTTCTTTAATCCTCCCTCCTTCCTTCTTCCTCAACATCGCCTCTCTTTCCTTCTCCTTCCCTCTATACTTCATCTACTTCCCTCTCAGGAAATTTAGTGCCAAATTCACATACGTTGTTTCTAGGGAAGAAAACTATGGACTGGGAGGTCCACCTTTCGCTGATCAAGTGAGGGGGTGATGGGTTGACAAATGGGCCTGTCTTAATAATACTCATAATAATAGCGGGCCCTGTATTAGTAATACTAATAGGACTGCTGTTGTTCTCGTTTATCTAAAAATGTTCTCATTTTTAGATTCAGCTACTGGGAACAAAGAGTTCCAAGTAGCACGGGATATGGTGAGCCCGTAGAGGACTTACCTGGCACAAGAGCCGGGCAGTTTTTTTTTTAATAGGACCGACCTTGACCAGTCTATATATCTGTCCCGTACCCCAGACCAATCATCCTGCAAAGTTGGGTGAGGCTAGCACTAAGCGCCTTACCTACAACCTTCCATACACGGACAATAAATGATAATGAACGAGTAATCGCTCATTTATACTCATCAATATGTATGAACGAGTCTGGTTGGTAGTTTGATGATCTCACTTCGTGCAGTGTAGGCGTTCTCCGATGGTCAACTTTTCATCCCAGCTCCTTTGCTCTTGCTACTCTGAATTACCACGTTTGTGGTAGAAAATAATAATAATAAAAACTCTGAATTACCGATTATGACTTACGTGTTTTTATTAGATAGAGAGTTCTAGCTGCTTTGTCTCTTGTCCATTAGTCGAATGGTGTAATGAATCATTACTGCGTTCCACTTTTGTAGAGTCTTTTAATATTTGTCTAGTTCACTAAGGTGTGTTAAATTGTCTATCGCTTAAGTTTACATCTAAAAATTTTGTTTGTTTGTCTACATTGTTAATGTTCTCAAAATATATTACAAAAACACACATGTCCCGTAGACTCATAATCCTGGTCTTACATATGTATTTTGATCATACATATGTATGATAGTATTTTCAAGAGTTCTTAGTTGGTGTTTATGAAGACCTCACTGACGTCACTATTGTATAGATAGACCTCGGGGAATTGACTCGGGTGTAGCATCAATTCCTTGGACCTGTGTTCCATCCGGATCCGGAAACTAAGTCCCCCTCTATTGGAACAGGACCACAGGTTATGTCTTTATCTCCTCAAGACGTTGCATTTGATGGGGCTAAACTACAATAGCCACTTATGCAGTGTTGTAGTTTGTTTTCCTCTTGGAGCCTACTGTAGGGCATAATGTCATTGGTTTTGCATCATTCGCCATGATCGAAATGAAGGATTCTGCCTCACAAAGGCGGGTCATTCACGAACATAAAGCTTAGAACAGAGAACTGATCCCAGAGAGACTCCTCGGATTAAGTCCCTCCGTCTTAACATATTACCCTCTTGGTACACCACTGGAGTACTTTTCCCTGGTACACCACTGGAGTACTTTCCCATCAACCATAATCCCCCCCCCCCCCACACACACACCCAACCCCCTCCTCTTCACCCTCTAACCCCCGCCCCCTCCTCAACTTCTCACTTATTCATCGCATGAATACATATATGAATGACCCACATCGTCATCCAAGCAATAAGTAGATAAATGAATGAAATAAAATTCCATCAGATTAACATAAACAGTTTTATTGAGAAACTTAACATTGTATACAAAAATCACAACAAACAGCCAATCTTTTCTCATAATTTATTCAAACCTCGCACTCAAAAAAAATTACAATGGATCTATTCTAACATAAATAATGTGTATATACAAAATACAATAATTAATAAATATTAAATATGTGATAACAATTAACAATAATAAATAATAGTTCTACAACAATACAGCAGCGTTATCGAATAAAGAAAAAGACTGATAGGCTCTGGATTTAACTAGCGATTGTTAAATACGAAAGAGGCGAACGAAATATATTTACAAATACATAGCAGACACTGTACCGGATATTGCTTGTTATTAAAAATACAGTAAAGAGTCAATGCTGTCAAAAACACATCTGAAGTTAGCTATTGTAAGTTAACATTTGACTGAATTTAACACGACTCAGCTGGGCTAAATTCGTGTATTACGTGATGTAATTAATGACGTAATTAACTTCCCTTCAAAAGGTCTTCTCTCACGCACGTGGCAAAGCCGCCACGTAAGCAGTTCTGACAGCACGCGTGTAGACACCTAGCAAAAAAAATCCACACCCCAGCAATGGGTGAACAGTGGTAAAAGTGTGATGGGTAGAGATGGAAGAGGAGCGTGATGGAGACGGAGGGGAAAGGGAGTGTAAGAGACTCGTTAAGCAATCTCTTAAGAAGCATTCCAGCCCCTCCTAACTGCTGTTTGCTGTTTTCCGACTCCCACCATGGACTTTCTTTGTTTACAAGCACACTATGTAGGGTACAGGGATGGGGCTAGAGTGATGGTGAGATGCTTGGTGATGGGATTTATGGTAATGGGGTGAGGGTAGACTCAGGGAACGTAGTTGGGTGATGGGGTGAGATAAGGCTGAAGAGCCGAAGATAGTCGAAATAGGACAGTGTTAGATTATTGAGGAGAGATTATTCAGCAATGGGGAGTACTGAGGTGGTTGGGGTTGGGGAGGAGCGTGTGGTTGGGGGGAGTGTGTGGTTGGGGGGGAGTGTGTGGTTGGGGGGAGTAGCTCAGCAGGGGAGACCTATGTGTCTAGGAGCATATAGAAGAACATAACCGGTATAACAGACGAGAATGGAAAAGAAGGAAGGAAACAGAACCACAGTTGAAGGAAAAGGATGGATAGCGGAGAAGAGAGAGGTCGAGATGGGAAAGACAAAATGATGGATGGAAGGGAAGACGAGTGTGAAGGAATGAGCATAATACAGGGGCCCCTCCCATTAAAAAGCCATTAGAATCATTAGGAGGGTGCCTGTGTCCTCGTATGGAATACCTTAAAAAAATCTTAAATAACCTGAAGAAAAAAATGAATCGCAAATATACCTAAAATGCATGTGTTATGTATCATGAGCTCACAATGTATGTGTATGTATCATGAGCTCACAATGTATGTGTATGTATCATAAACCAACGCCATGTGCACGCAAGGCAACACCAATAGCATGCAAATGAATCCCCGCCCTGATAACGCAATGGAAATGTTGCGTCAAATTAAGACGAGATGAACGCTGAATACCCAGCCGTGTGTGTGTGTGTGTGTGTGTGTGTGTGTGTGTGTGTGTGTGTGTGTGTGTGTGTGTGTGTGTGTGTGTGTGTGTGTGTGTGTGTGTGTGTGTGTGTGTGTGTGTGTGTGTGTGTGTGTGTGTGTGTGCGTGTGTGAGCGTGTGAATAAAACAGGAGTTTAGGAATTTTTCCCAAAGTAATTCCGTGAAATAATTTTCGTGCAACGATGAAGGGGTAAATAAACACACGAGCATTCTGTGTACATAACTTCCACCACACCCTTTTCCGCCCTGCCTCACCCCGCCCTGCCTCACCCAGTCCTGATTCATCCAGCCCTGCTTCACGCAGCTTTGCTTCACCCAGCTCTGCTTCCCTCTAGCCTATAACATCCAGTCCCAATGTCACCCAGCGATGCTTGACACAGCTACGACCTCACCCGGGCCATTGAACCTCAACTCATCACGCCCATCATGCGCCCAACCTCCTCAACAGATGAGTTACAAGTCGCCTCTCCAAACCCCAGTTTACCTCATCTACCACCAGCCTGGCCAAACCTCACTTCAACTGGCGCTAGTTTCTGCTAGACGTTAGAAGAAGCCACGTTCAGCCTTTTCCTTGTCAGCTAGGAGGAAAAATTTCACATTTTCAATGTCAAATTCATTTAACCTTCCTGCTGATGATTATTTTTTTTTTCACGTGACCCCTTTATAGGCAAATTATTTTACTCATAAAAGAGTTATACAAAATTAATTAAAATACATTTATAATATGCCGGACTTATAGCTTACGTTGGATAAATATATTCCATTTTGAATATCGGCATTGGGTTTGATCAAATTAAATGTTTATATCAATATTTGCTGATTCGTATTTTGACGACTATAGTAAGTGGTTTTTGAGGTAAGTTAATGCCAATTTTTTTCACAAAAGTAATTTTTTATCATAATTCGAGATACTGAGCTTGGCTGCCACCAAGCTCAGCATCTGATGCATACTGTATCCAGGCTCAGCATCTGATGCATACTGTATCCAGGCTCAGCATCTGATGCATACTGTATCCAGGCTCAGCATCTGATGCATACTGTATCCAGGCTCAGCATCTGATGCATACTGTATCCAGGCTCAGCATCTGATGCATACTGTATCCAGGCTCAGCATCTGATGCATACTGTATCCAGGCTCAGCATCTGATGCATACTGTATCCAGGCTCAGCATCTGATGCATACTGTATCCAGGCTAATCCTTCATATATGCTTCAGCCCCACTCATGTAATGCCACAATCTGCCTCAGCATCACCAGTCATCATCGCTAAATACTCGTTTAAATCATGAAATTATTTAAGGTTGATAGGCCTACTAAAAGCTTTCAAAGCACAACTAAATATACATTTCAAAGTGCAACACGCTTTGCAAGCCTCTCCTCTAAGGCAAGAGATAACAGATGTTGAAATGAGACCATTTTAGACAATACCTTAAGGATACTTGAGGTGCTTCCGGGGCTTAGCGTCCCCGCGGTCCGGTCGTCGACCAGGCCTCCTGGTTGCTGGACTGTTAAGGTTAATTTTAACTGTAAGTTAGGGCAAGGTACTATAATGATAAAAGTAACAACTGGGTGTTATTGTTCTGTCAGTAGTTTAGAGCGAGAAGCTTGTGCTGCCCTTATTGACATGAAAAGTTTCAACGTTTAAAGAACTGTAAGAAGCACTATGATGATAAACGGTGACAAAATACGCCATAAAATAAATTTTGATGCTAAATACTTTTCTCAGTGTCTTGAAGATTCGATGAGCTAGTCCTGAAGATTATACATAAAGAACGTTATTAAATGCACGTCCTTAACAGCAGAAACTTGACACACACACATATTTACACCCAAAAAGTTAACAAAAGGAGATGGTAAGAATAGCATCACCAGAGACCTGAAAGAGCTAATCAGGGAACACGGGATGGGAGGCTACTTTATCTCACGGAACTTGAGACACAAGGTAATTGAATTTCGGTTAACTTCTCACGCAAGAATTTTTTTTTTTACAGACCTGCCACTTATCTAAAGAATTAATGGGTTTGTAAAGTGTGTTTCCCGCTGCTAATGTCACATAAATATTCCTGAATAGTAGGAAGCAATGTACGATAAAAGTACTTATAATGCACACTTTTCTAATTGTTCCCTGTTAGTTTCCTTCGGGATCCAGATATCGTCCAATGAAGAGCAATAGTCCAGTTGGATTGTGTCTGACGGCGTAAAGGAATGCTCGGTCGAACGCCAGTGTTCCAACGTCGCTTTGTCGGTAGAAGGCTCCACCAGAGGGCCTCTTTGTGTCGTCACTGGCCGCAGGTAGTCCCATGCGGTCGATCCTATAGTCTTCAGACCCAAGATATACACTGCTTTTCTCAAAGTCGTTTTTGTAATACTGGTATTTGGGAGAGGCAGGTAAGATGTTTTCACTTTCCATCTGCGTCTTCGTTGTCTTCTGTGAAGTTAAGTTTTTCTGCTGAGGGAAGTTGTTTGGTGAGGTAGCATGCTGAGTGGAGTTATGTATAGATGTTGTCTGTTGTGAGGATTTTTGTTTTGTAGTGTTAGCAGGCGTTGTTTGCTGTGCAGAACTGTCTTTATGCGATGTGTGTTGTGGGAGGCTGCTATTTGAGGATTTCTGCTGCAATGGAGAAGTTAACGTAAAAGTCTCCTGTGTGGAATTGTCTTTCGAGGGAGTCAGCTGTGGAGAGTTGTCTGTCTGAGATGTCTTCTCTGTGAGGTTTTTCTTCGTTGAAGATAACTCCTGTGAGTTATCTGTCGAATACGTCTGCTGTGAGCTCTTTGTCGAGACCGCCTGCTGTGAGCTCTCTGTCGAGACCGCCTGCTGTGAGCTCTCTGTCGAGACTGCCTGCTGTGAGCTCTCTGTCGAGACTGCCTGCTGTGAGCTCTCTGTCGAGACAGCCTGCTGTGAGCTCTCTGTTGAGACAGCCTGCTGTGAACTCTCTGTCGAGACCCCCTGCTGTGAGCTCTCTGTCGAGACCGCCTGCTGTAAGCTCTCTGTCGAGGACGTGTGATGTGAGCTCTCTGTCGAGGACGTGTGATGTGAAGGCTTGTCTGTCGATGATGCCTGTTGTGGGAGATGATTCTCCGGAATTGTCTCTTGGGGGGAGACTAACAGGGAGGCCTCCTGCTGGAAATTGTTTCCCGTTGACCCCTGGTGTTGAGAGTTGCCCGTCGACGAGATCTGTTGAGTTTTAATACCTGTGGAGGGCGCCTTGCGCTTCGAAGTGTCTGTTGAAGACGCTTGTGTCAGAGAGCTTTTTGTTGGAGAGACTTGCCGTGGAAAATACTTACTGAAGATCTCGTCATAGTGGCCTCCTTCAGGATCCATGCGGGTGAGCTTCATCTTGTCCAGCTGCAGGTATTCTACCATGGGAAAGCCGTAGATATAAGTCGGTTGGTATAGAGTCCTGGAGTCTTCGGCTTCTTCTTCTTCGTCAGAATCACTTTCTTCTTCGTCAGAATCACTTTCTTCTGAAGGCGACCTCCTCGACCTGATGGCTCTCGATAGAGGAGGGCTCTCCACTTGGCATGATTGGAACTCAGTAAGCTGGACGACATCACTAAGATGAAGATTTTTGACGTGGTTGATTCCTGAGAAGTCAGCTTTGCCTTCCTGTGTAATTAAAAGGAAGAAAATTAAACGGGATATTGGATTTGCGAAGGCACTGTGCCTGGCTCGTGAGAACGATTTTAATCAAGATTTCGTGAGTGGTTTGCAAGTGATGTGCTTCAGTATCAGATTTCTAGCACTGAATATATTAGTGAAATCATGCTCTAGTTCTTGAACTAGAGCACGACTCTATGAACTCCCTGTGTTGACCAGACCACACACTAGAAGTTCAAGGGACGACGACGTTTCGGTCCGTCCTGGACCATTCTCAAGTCGATTGTCATTCTCACAATCGACTTGAGAATGGTCCAGGACGGACCGAAACGTCGTCGTCCCTTCAACTTCTAGTGTGTGGTCTGGTCAACATACTTCAGCCACGTTATTGTGACTCATCGCCTGCAACTCCCTGTGTTATTTTTTTCAGCAACGTTATTGTGACTTATTTCATGCATAAGAACTCTCTCTACCTATCTGTTTATTAAAAAATAGTTTTAATTATCTACCTCTTACTCTTTAACTGTCTACTTGTTTGTTTTGTTTCCCTTTATCTCACCCAACACACCAATTCTTCGCTTCTCTTACTATTCATATTTCATTGCTTCATGCTTCCTTAACCCCATATTTGCTTCTCTCCCCCCCCCCCCCTCGCCCAACCACTTGGGCTGGACGGTAGAGCGAAGGTCTCGCTTCAAGCAGATCGGCGTTCAATCCCCGACCGTCCATGTGATTGGACACCATTCCTCCCCCCCCCCTCCCCCCACCGTCCCATCCCAAATCCTTATCCTGACCCCTTCCCAGTGATATATAGTCGTAATGGCTTGGCGTTTTCCATTGATAATTCCCTCCCTTCTCCCCCCCCCCCGTCCCCCTCCCTACTTTCTTCCCTACCTTTCCTCCCTCCCTACCTCCCTACCTTTCCTCTCTCCCTCCCTCCCTCCCTCCCTACCTTTCCTCCCTCCCTCCCTACCTCCTACCTTTCCCCCCTCCCTCCCTCCCTCCTACCTTTCCTCCCTCCCTCCCTCCCTCCTACCTTTCCCCCCTCCCTCCCTCCCTCCCTCCCTCCTACCTTTCCCCCCTCCCTCCCTCCCTCCCTCCCTCCCTCCCTCCCTACCTTCCCTCCCTCCGTCCATCTCACCTGGAAAAGTTGACCAAGCCCCAGGCCTCCGAGGATGCTGGAGAAGTTATGGAAGGCTCTGTGACGAAACACTGGCATCTTTAACTGGACGGTATTGGGGAGCATTGACCTCAATACCTGGCTCCATTTCTCCGGGTTCAGCGTTGACTCCAGCTGTAGGGTAATTGAGTGGTCAGTAGGTGGTGCTTGATGATGCATTAGGTGTAATTAACGACGTGATTGATGTACTTGATGTAATTGAGTAGGTGTAATTCTAGACTTGGTAGGTGTAAATAATAATTGGGTTTAATTCGAGAGTTGGTAGGTATACGGGATGACTAGGGGAAAATTATTAGCCCCTAGTCACCTAATGGCTAGGTCACTATGGGCTCCGTTTTTCACGGAATCCCTACCCGCCAAACACACACCGAAACTACGACGTTGGTACAACGTTCGAACAAGTTTTAACACCTAACCAGTTATAACAACCAATATAGCAAGTTGTAACAACGTTCTAATATGTCATAAACACGTTAAGCCAAGATGTAACAACTTTATTACAAGTTCTAACAAGCGGAAAATAGACAGTTTCGGTTTGTGTTTCCAGGGTAGTGACTTCTAGGGGAGCCCCTAGAGACTTCTTGTGGAACACCTAGAGGCCTCTCGTGGAGCCTTTAGGTTCCAGGAAACCTGGTTGAGAAACAGTGATCTGGTAGATGATTGAGTCGATGGGATTGTCATTATGGGGAAAAGTATCATTCTACATCAAAATATAATTTTCATGAGAGTTTTACGGTTAGGAAAAACATGGAATTGGGAGGAAAACAAACCAGTGTTTTACGTTGGTTTAACATATTCCATGAATAAAGAAGTTCCAACCCACAAAAATACATAGTAAAAAATCTTAGTTTCTTAATTTTGTGGCAAATCTACGCACGGGAATTTCAATCTATATGTAAATATGTGTTATGTAGTTTGTCTATCTCTATTAATGCATATACACTGTACATAGAAACCGCTCAGATTATTATAGCATTATCATTAAAGCATTCGTAAGATCAGTTTATGAATATTTAAGGAAATAGATCCAAATACTTAACGTTTTGATTTAAATACGCGAAAAACTTTAAACTTGTTAATGTAGTTTTTGTTGAAAATAATTTTTGACAGCTCTAAAATTTATTTATATTTTGTCCCATACGCCAAAAAAGTCCAAATTCATACAGGTATTATTATTGATTCATTTGACATCATATAGTTTCCAGTTCTCTATATATATGGAAATTCTATTATTCCTTAATTATTGTCTACCCAATTGTTCAGTTGTTAAAAAGAAAACACTTTTAATATTCATTTAAGTACAAAGTTATCACCGATTAAAATCATTCAACAATTCCATTTGATACTGAGATTTAATCCTAATAGGCCGAATGGGTGAGCCGAATAATTTTAATAATTTAAGGCATAATATGAAAAATTGGTGAGGTTTAAGACTGAAGAGACTTTTTTCTAGACTTAAGACTAGAGATGTCGAAGACTGGAGACTAGCTGACAGCAATGGAGGTTGTTGGAATTGGATCTATTTCCTTAAATAATCATAAACTGATCTTAAGAATGCTTTAAAGATAATGCTAATTCTCAAAGATGTGACTGTTAGAATGGTTCTTAACGACATCAGGGAAAAGTTTCGTCGTGTTCTAAGTGTTCTCTTGACCTCTCTGGTGCGTCTAACTTGGTATTTCTCCTCCACGACAACTCACCGCGGCCTTTATTCCTCTCTTCCGCTCTCCTCCATTATAAGTTTCCTCGCACATTCTTCTCTTATTGAGAGGAGGTATTCGTAGGTCTGGTGCTGGGCTCTCCATATCTCTGCACGCGCGTGTGTGGGGGGCCACAATCTATTATAGTTCCCCCCACACGCAATTCCCCCAGCCCCCCTCCCCAATCCATTATCCCCGTCAGACTTATTTCAAGGTATTCTGCTGAATATATATATATATATATATATATATATATATATATATATATATATATATATAACTGAAAACTCACACCCCAGAAGTGACTCGAACCCATACTCCCACAACTGGTATGTACAGGGACGCCTTAATCCGCTTGACCATCACGACCGGACATAAGGAAGTGATAGCCGAGGCTATATGAACCACTTCCCCGCCGGCACTCGGATGGTAATCTTGGGCATAGCATTTTATCAAATCACCTCATTCTTTGGGGCACACGTGAGGAACACAAATGCAAACAAGCCTGAATGGTCCCCAGGACTATATACAACTGAAAACTCACACCCCAGAAGTGACTCGAACCCATACTCCCACAACTGGTATGTACAGGGACGCCTTAATCCGCTTGACCATCACGACCGGACATAAGGAAGTGATAGCCGAGGCTATATGAACCACTTCCCCGCCGGCACTCGGATGGTAATCTTGGGCATAGCATTTTATCAAATCACCTCATTCTTTGGGGCACACGTGAGGAACACAAATGCAAACAAGCCTGAATGGTCCCCAGGACTATATACAACTGAAAACTCACACCCCAGAAGTGACTCGAACCCATACTCCCACAACTGGTATGTACAGGGACGCCTTAATCATACCAGTTGTGGGAGTATGGGTTCGAGTCACTTCTGGGGTGTGAGTTTTCAGTTGTATATAGTCCTGGGGACCATTCAGGCTTGTTTGCATTTGTGTTCCTCACGTGTGCCCCAAAGAATGAGGTGATTTGATAAAATGCTATGCCCAAGATTACCATCCGAGTGCCGGCGGGGAAGTGGTTCATATAGCCTCGGCTATCACTTCCTTATGTCCGGTCGTGATGGTCAAGCGGATTAAGGCGTCCCTGTACATACCAGTTGTGGGAGTATGGGTTCGAGTCACTTCTGGGGTGTGAGTTTTCAGTTGTATATAGTCCTGGGGACCATTCAGGCTTGTTTGCATTTGTGTTCCTCACGTGTGCCCCAAAGAATGAGGTGATTTGATAAAATGCTATGCCCAAGATTACCATCCGAGTGCCGGCGGGGAAGTGGTTCATATAGCCTCGGCTATCACTTCCTTATGTCCGGTCGTGATGGTCAAGCGGATTAAGGCGTCCCTGTACATATCAGTTGTGGGAGTATGGGTTCGAGTCACTTCTGGGGTGTGAGTTTTCAGTTGTATATAGTCCTGGGGACCATTCAGGCTTGTTTGCATATATATATATATATATATATATATATATTACACAGGAACGTTTAGACCTAGGACAGTTTAGGATTGGTTTATGATTAGTTCGTGTTTCTGTTCTATAATTCCAAAAAAATACAAAACAGCTTTTTCTTATAATAAGTACAACAGCTCATATTTCGAACATTACATTCATGCTATCTGTTTTATTTGGAGAATCTTATATATTACCATTTTTTTTGTATGTTTAAATATTTTTTTATATATTATTAAATAGGGCACTTCAGCAGTGTTGAAGCAAGTGGCTTGTTATAATTTAAATATGGCTTTTGTATAAAATGTCAATTTAAATGTAAATTTTTTTAGGAGCACATTTATGCCTGTTTCTGTTTAGATACTTTTAAGAGTATTTTTAATACATTTTAGTATTTTTATTTTTTTAATTTTAAGTATTTTTAATTTTTTAATTTTAAGTATTTTTAATTTATACTGATTTTTGAGTTAACTGATGTTGTTCTCACAGTCCTTTTCTCACCATCGTGTTCTTCCCAATTTTCAATAAGAGATATCTATTTATTCCTGAAATATATATCATAAATGCAAAATATATGGCATGTCTTGTATGTTCTTCCTTAATATGTAGCATTATATTCGTAAAATTTGTAATGTAAAGCATTATGTATGTGTAATATGATGTATTATGTATGAGTAATATGTAGCGTTTTCATATATCTAGTGTCCGGATGATTTGTGTGCATATGTGATTTTTCTAAAAATACTTAATTGCAACTTTTATTAAATCTGGAAAGTGCCCTTAGGTAAATGAACATATTGTAAATATTGGAAATATGTATGTAAAAGGTTTAATGAGATAATGAAAACATTTGGATGAGCTCATTCAGTAAAATTACATTGTGAATTTTGATGGTTTACTACTACAATAAAAATTCCGTCCGGAAATATAATATAATCAAGCTTTCCAACTCTTGATTCTGTATTTATCACAAGGTATCACAAGGTAGGGGCCTCGTAGCCTGATGGATAGCGCGCAGGACTCGTAATTCTGTGGCGCGGGTTCGATTCCCGCACGAGGCAGAAACAAATGGGCAAAGTTTCTTTCACCCTGAATGCCCCTGTTACCTAGCAGTAAATAGGTACCTGGGTGTTAGTTAGCTGTCACGGGCTGCTTCCTGGGGGTGGAGGCCTGGTCGAGGACCGGGCCGCGGGGACACTAAAGCCCCGAAATCATCTCAAGATAACCTCAAGATAAGATGTATACATAATAAAAAAAATTATCGAGTTTCAGGTTCATATCATTAAGAGAGATTGATATTTAATTTCTCGTGTAAATTAATGTGTAAATACGAAGGTTAATTTACATTTATTTATTGAGTAGAATTTATTAATTTATTTGGTTGAGTAGTAGTATATTATGGTGAGGGAGGGGGGGTAGTTGTATGGTTGGTGGGTATTTAATGAGTAGTTGAATAGTGAGATGGTGGTTGGTGTGAGTGAATGGCGTCAGTGTTGATGCTCTCATGGTTGTTGATGCTGGTGTGGTTGATGGTGTTATGGTTAATGTGGTTCTTGATTGTTGTCTGGTAGTTGCGATGCGCTTGTTGATGATGCTGGTGTAATTGTTGTTGTGGTTGCTAATGTCGGTGATATTGTTAATATGTGTTGGTTGTGATTGTAGTTGATGGTATGTTTGTGTGGTTGATGAAGTTGATGGTGTGTGGTGGCTTGATCATTTGTATTTTGTATTCCTGTTGTTGTTTTATCAGAGTCTAGTTTAATTCGTCTGTTAAAACTTTACTGCTCCAAACTGGCATTTTGCTGAGGCCGGGATTGTTAACAAAACATTTGATCATCATTAATTATGACGCTCAAATTGCACACATATATGAAAGGCAACTCTGGTTAAACATTACCGTGGCCTAACTACACCAAATTATCAACGAATTTGTTCCCAAACATATCACTCATTTAAATTACAAAAAAATAGATTGGTTAATAATTTTTTTTACTTTTCAATTTTACCACAAAAAACGTTGAATTCCTCTTGATTGTAAAAGTATCAAAAATGGTAGTTTTACTAATTTGCTTCCGTGAAGGTTATGGTATATTGTTTTTTCATTTTGAAATCTTGGTGTACAACTAACGTGAATTTCTGCTTAAAATTTAAAGCCAGGTTTTGAAGGTGTTAGATTCATACTTTGAATATTTTAAATCCATACTTTGAATATTTTAGATCCATACTTTGAATGTCTTATGTCAGTGGTTTCCAAACCAATTTACGCAGCTAACGACCCAATCAACTAACTTTTCAATCCCATCAACTAACTATTCCGTCAGCCAATTAACTGACAATTCAGTCAACCAAAGTCTGTAAATAGCCCAACCATCCAGACAGTCAGCCAGCTAATTAGGCTATCTCGAGACAGCCCAGCGTATTCTCCTAAGGCTTCTCAACGTCAAGAAAACAGCCCAATATAAAGTGTCATCAACTAACCTACCAGAGGACCCAAAACAAAAAACGGGACAGTTCGTCACTTTCGCCAGCCGCTTCCATTTTCTAGTACAGCAATTTTTAGCCTTATGTAACGCATACGATCGAAATGCTACGTTCTTTGTAGGAGGACAGGTTGGACAGCCAGCCAACTAGCCCGGCTCCCCCCCCCCCCTAGACAGCCAGCCAGCCAACTAGCCTGGCTACCCCCAGACAGCCAGCCATGTCGCCCAGGTAACCAGCCATACAACCTACCAGTCACTGAGCCAGTTAGTCCACCGAGAAAGCCAGCAAATCACACTTGGGCAGCTCTTCAAGCTCCCCCTGTCTCATTCCTCTTTGAGGTGCTGCAAAGCACGAATAGTCAATTTACGTTTGACAATGCATGACTTGACCGTAGCGTTCTGGCGTGTTATTTGCCCCAAGTTCCGCCAACATTTGCTGCCAAACGGGGTCAATCGTGGGGTTCTATTGTGTGGAACTGCTGCTGCTTCACAATCTCTCTCTACAATCCGTTTAAAGGATAATAGGTTATTACACACAGAAATCACAATTGCGTGATGCATCAAATGAACAAATCCACGAGGGCCGTGACTAGGTTTCGAACCTGCGTCCGAGAGCATCCCAGACGCTGCCTTAATCGACTGAGCTACGACATGGTCAAAAGGAGTTGAAACCGAATTTCTACTGAACTTACTGGATCCTGCAGTCTCTCCGAGGCACAATCCAGGGTTTTACACATCTCCCCCTTCAAAACAAGGTTCGAATCCTCGTCACGGCCCTTGCGGATTTGTTCATAATAGGTTATTGTGTAGTGTTTATTGTTCGTGTAAAAAATTTTACACGTGTAAAAAGTTTTTACAAGTGTAAAAAGTTTTTTTTTTTAATCTTATTCATCGTTTCTGGCCTTTTTATGCTTTTATGTTTTTGTATCTGTTTTTATCTTATTCGTTTTGGTCTCTTTTTTTTCGTGTCTTCTGCCTGTATTTCCTGAGGCAGCCCGCCAAACACACACCGAAACTACAACGTTGGCACAACGTTCGAACAAGTTTTAACACCTCCTAACCAGTTATAACAACCAATATAGCAAGTTGTAACAACGTTCTAATACGTCATAAACACGTTAAGCCAAGATGTAACAACTTTATTACAAGTTGTAACAAGCGGAAAATAGAGACAGTTTCGGTTTGTGTTTCCTGAGGCAGGTCTTTCGTGTTGCAGATCGCCATCTGCAACACGCATAATAGGCAGGTCCTCGATCGTCTCTATCGCTTCGACGGCGTCGAACTTAACTTGTGATTGGTTAACACAAACACAGCCAGAAAAAGCGTTTGATATGAAAAATTAATGTCATTATAAACAGGTATGAATCTTATCACTATCATTCCGTACTCTAATTAGTACAACTCATTGGTGTATTTGCTGATATTGTCTTATGACAAATGCAGATTGTGCATGTCATGGGATGGTTATGTAGCCCCCATGGGATGGTTATGTAGCCCCCATGGGATGGTTATGTAGCCCCCATGGGATGGTTATGTAGCCCCATGGGATGGTTATGTAGCCCCCATGGGATGGTTATGTAGCCCCCATGGGATGGTTATGTAGCCCCCATGGGATGGTTATGTAGCCCCCATGGGATGGTTATGTAGCACCATGGGATGGTTATGTAGCCCCCATGGGATGGTTATGTAGCCCCATGTTAATAGGATTCAATTCCGGGGTCACTATTTCCATCATAGTCACTACTATCTTTCTCATCGTGTATAGTAATCTCGGGAACACGTTGAGCATCTTACCTGCGCCAGGCCATTAGCGATGAAGTTCTTCTGTTCGCCAGGCATCGCCAGCACAAGCGATAATTCGCCAGACGTTGAGTACAGAGGTATCTGAAGTGAGAATATAACGGTGAGTGAGGCGGCAGTAGGAAGGGGGCATTCGATATGAGGTGAGGAGGAAAGAGTGTGCGTGTGTGAGAGAGGAGAAAGTATGAGGGAGGAAGAATGAGGCTTGGAATAGAGTGAGGAAAGGTATGTGAAGGTGTCGAGGTTGATAAGTTAAAGAAGATGGGAAATGAGGAGATGAGAGAAGAAGAGATTGGAGGTATCTAGGTAGGATATGAGAGAAGGAGAGATTGGAGGTACCTAGGTAGAATATGAGAGAGGAGAGAAGGTAGGGAGTGGGGCGAGGGGTATTAAAGCAGATACAACTGCGGAGACAAGTAAAATAAATTTCAGAGCCATACAAAATATACATAATAATAAAACATAGTTCCGACTCTTGAAATAAATTAAGTCAAAGCTCTAGAGTATTGTTAGATCTCTTTCACACAGTAGAGAAATATTTAAATTGAAATTCAAAAACATTATTCATAAATTGTTGTACATTTTGCGCCGTAATATGAATGCAAATGCAAATTCCTAATGTTAATACACACGATATATATATATTTAAAATGCGAGATATATTCTCAGAGAAGCTGATTTAATAATATATATATATATGTCGTACCTAGTAGCCAGAACTCACTTTTCGGCCTACTATTCAAGGCCCGATTTGCCTAATAAGCCAAGTTTTCCTGAATTAATATATTTTTTCTAATTTTTTTCTGATGAAATGATAAAGCTACCCATTTCATTATGTATGAGGTCATTTTTTTTTATTGGAGTTAAAATTAACGTAGATATATGACCGAACCTAACCAACCCTACCTAACCTAACCTAACCTATCTTTATAGGTTAGGTTTGGTTAGGTAGCCGAAAAAGTTAGGTTAGGTTAGGTTAGGTAGGTTAGGTAGTCGAAAAACAATTAATTCATGAAAACTTGGCTTATTAGGCAAATCGGGCCTTGCATAGTAGGCTGACAAGTGCGTTCTGGCTACTAGGTACGACATATATATATATATATATATATATATATATATATATATATATATATATATATATATATATATATATATATATATATATATATATATGTCGTACCTAGTAGCCAGAACTCACTTCTCAGCCTACTATTCAAGGCCCGATTTGCCTAATAAGCCAAGTTTTCCTGAATTAATATATTTACTATAATTTTTTTCTTATGAAATGATAAAGCAACCCTTTTCTCTATGTATGAGGTCAATTTTTTTTTATTGGAGTTAAAATTAACGTAGATATATGACCGAACCTAACCAACCCTACCTAACCTAACCTAACCTATATTTATAGGTAAGGTTTGGTTAGGTAGCCAAAAAAAGCTAGGTTAGGTTAGGTTAGGTAGGTTAGGTAGACGAAAAAACATTAATTCATGAAAACTTGGCTTATTAGGCAAATCGGGCCTTGAATAGTAGGCTGAGAAGTGCGTTCTGGCTATTAGGTACGACATATATATATATATATATATATATATATATATATATATATATATATATATATATATATATATATATATATATATATATATATATATATATATATATATAACTGAAAACTCACACCCCAGAAGGGACTCGAACCCATACTCCCAGGAGCCACGCAACTGGTATGTACAAGACGCCTTAATCCACTTGACCATCACGACCGGACATAATGAGTTGCATTATGCATTATGAGTTGCATTTTCAGTTGCATATTGTCCTGGGGACCATTCAGGCTTGTTCGCATTTGTGTTCCTCACGTGTGCCCCAAAGAATGAGGTGATTTGGTAAAATGCTATGCCCAAGATTACTATCCGAGTGCCGGCGGTGGGGTGGTTCAAATAGCCTCGGCTATCACCTCATTATGTCCGGTCGTGATGGTCAAGTGGATTAAGGCGTCTTGTACATACCAGTTGCGTGGCTCCTGGGAGTATGGGTTCGAGTCACTTCTGGGGTGTGAGTTTTCAGTTGCATATTGTCCTGGGGACCATTCAGGCTTGTTCGCATATATATATATATATATATATATATATATATAATATGCTTATGTGTTGTGGCGGTGGAATATAAGCGAAATACACGAGATGGAAGTCTTCCATTTCCAACACCTCCACACAGCCATACGGAAGATCGTGGTAACATGGAATATAGTTTAAGTGGAGCACCTAAATTCCCTTTCCCCACTCTCACTTTTACAGTCTCTTGAACCACTGAGTGCTTATCCCTGGTAGGAGGTTTATGATGGTGCATTCTGCTTTTTGGGAATAAAGAAGTGGCAGCGTATTCCCTTGCATTAAAGTGTCACTTTTGTAGCACACCGCCACTAGACTCTCTCTTTTTAACCTCCAGAGATTGTTTAGGAGGGCGTCTAAAGGCCTGCCTCATGTTTTGTTCAGGTTTAAAATGGACATTTTACAACTTCCTGGTCGTTTACTACTTCATGTTCCTGGAGATAACCAAAATGTTTTGACTAGTAAGCATATTCCGCTGATTTTATATTGTTAACATGTGCCTCTGGTGATATGCCTTCAGTGACAGTGGAGTGACACACATGCCTCCAGTGACACTGAAGTGACACATATGCCTCCAGTGACACTGAAGTGACACACATGCCTCCAGTGACACTGAAGTGACACATATGCCTCCAGTGACACTGAAGTGACACACATGCCTCCAGTGACACTGAAGTGACACATATGCCTCCAGTGACACTGAAGTGACACATATGCCTCCAGTGACACTGAAGTGACACACATGCCTCCAGTGACACTGAAGTGACACATATTCCTCCAGTGACACTGAAGTGACACACATGCCTCCAGTGACACTGAAGTGACACACATGCCTCCAGTGACACTGAAGTGACACACATGCCTCCAGTGACACTGAAGTGACACACATGCCTCCAGTGACACTGAAGTGACACACATGCCTCCAGTGACACTGAAGTGACACACATGCCTCCAGTAACACTGAAGTGACACATATGCCTCCAGTGACACTGGCGTGACACACATGCCTCCAGTGACACTGGCGTGACACACATGCCTCCAGTGACACACACACACAGGCGGAGGACCAGACCAGACCTCCAGGACACACGACCCTAACTACCAAACTACGCGTGAATAATATACAGCATAAACTGTCCAAACGATGCCAGTCTGCCAGAAAAAGTTAACGGTAAAACTCTAATGTTTCAGTTAAACGTGCAAAATTTATATTTATAATTTTGATAGCGAACAAACGAAAACATTTGGAAAAGTTTGAGGATTGACAATGGTAGGTTAGTGTTATTAAGGTAATAATATCCATGTATATGGATATATGTATACATAGAAAGGTAGACCCCGATTCTCGGTATACATACAGTGAGAGTTAATCCTGGACTAAAGTATACTAGATGGTTGGCCAGGAAGCAGCTAACTTACTGGCCAACTTTTTGATAGACCTGAAGTCCAACACCAAATGAGTTTATTTTGAATATTAAGCAGAATGTACTAATTCTTAGCTAATCTTCTGTTGTGCTTTGTGTATTCGTTCCTTTTTTGATTACATTGTGATTTACTTCTGTTCAGGTTATATTCCAAGCTCTAAAAATGATTCGCAGTTCGTTACACTCGAAACAATATTCGACTTTTGCTATGCTCGAAACATTATTCGGCTTTTGTTATGCTCGAAACAATATTCGACTTTTACTATGCTGCAAACATTATTCGGGTTATGCTGTTTATGCAGTTTAATTAATCATGCATGTTTAATTAAACACTTACCAAATTTCAGCCCGTCCTCATCAACAAAGTCCAAGTCCAAATGTTTATTCCATAAAACCGCTACCCTCCCCTCTTCCCATGTCTGTGAATGAAAACACTTTAAGCAATGCGATTCTAACGCGTCCTCGATTCGAGTCCATTCCATCCAGCGGTCGACCCCACAGACACATTCATAATTTTTAACATGCTGTTCATTCAAAACGGGAATTTTCTCAAACATAAACTAATATTATAATATATTAATAGTCGCCAATTAGGTCTGTTGGCGATTATATAAATAATCGCCAACAGAACCTAACCACCTAACCTAATCTAGCTTACGCCTAAATATGCACAAGATGCTAATGAATAATAACATTAATTTATATATGAGAACATTCATCTTGTGAATAAACAGCATGTTAAAATTGGTGACTGCATCTTCGGGGTCGGCCGCAGAATGGAATGAACATAGCCTGAGGATGGGTCAGAATTCACTCCCTCAGCAAGACAATTTTTCCTATTTACAAAAAAAAAAAATGTATTCGTATTTTCTGGTAATAAAGACATGTATTTCCTTGAACATTTGGACTGGGAACTCTGACTTTTATCAAATGCAGAAAGCTGATTTTCTGGGAGAAAATTTTTTTATTTATGTGTGTGTGTTATGTATACGCGGTGCATAACGATACGCTATGAGGACCTTTGACAAACCACCGGCTTCCTGTCACCGTGGAGGCCACCACAGAAAGTAGCCTTTAAGTAATTCATAGATAAAGTGAAAAAAAAATAATAATGCCAGTCTACGCTCCAAGTTCCACAGATACAGAAAACGGCTGCGGTGTTCATTACACGAGATAGTGAAATATAGCGTCGTTTTTTTTCCTAGGGCAACTTCGCTGAAGATTAGAAACCTAATTGGGCAGTTTGGGGGCAATGTGGAGCAGTGGAGTACACGTATAAGAGCAATTGATCACCACTGCAACGAGAGGCTGCACCGGACTAGGGGCATTTAGAGTCGTATAATTGGGTTCAGATTGCTGCTTCTTCATCTGAATTTTCTGTAATTTTTTCTTTTATCAAAATTTGTGCGTGTGGACGCCCATCCGCGAAGCGGAATAAGTACATATTTCTTACTCAAATTTTAATTATGTTTAACTCGAAGTGGTGATTGCGTGATATCTTCTTGCGTTATCTTGTGATGATTTCGGGGCTTATCGTCCCCACGGCCCCGGTCCTCGACCAGGCCTCCTTTTTGTTAATCATCCCCAGGAAACAGCCCGTAGCAGCTTTCTAATTCCCAGGTACCTAGTTACTGCTAAGTGAACAGATGCATCAGGATGAAAGAAACTCTGCCCAATTGTTTCAGCCTCCACCGGAGATCGAACCCGGAATCTTAGGACTACGAATTCCGAGCGCTGTCTACTCAGCTATCAGGCCCCTTCTAAGGTTACAGTCTGAAATTACGTGAAATGTTTACATGAAAAACAAAATTTATTTATGTAACTTAATTCATAAACATGAGAGGGGAAAGGAAATGTTTCGGATGTTTTTCTCGCTTTCTTTCTTTCTTTCATTTTCTTTCACCTCATTTCTTTTACTCTCAAGCTTTTACATTGCCGTGTAATTTCTATGACTCTTTTCTATTTCGTTCTATCCCTTCATTTTTGTTATCTTTTATTTCTATTTCACTGTATTGGTTTTTTTATTTTGGTTAATTTGTTTTATTATCTACTACTATCTACTTATCGCCTTTCTCTCTCTCTCTCTCTCTCTCTCTCTCTCTCTCTCTCTCTCTCTCTCCTCCCCTCCCTTTATCTTTTCCATTCTCTTTTAATCTTCGTAAATGTTTTTTTGTTTACAATTTCAGAACAGCCAATAAAGAAGGATTTTCTTCACCAAAGAGCAAGTGGAACTTGTGCTCATAAACTGCTTCCCTGAAACATTTTACTACGTAATTCGTGGGTCTTATATGCTGTTTTGAATAAAACCCTGTGTTATTAAAGTAAGGATTCGTGTAGTTTGTCTTTAAGAGCACAGAGGTGAATATATATATATAATATATATATATATATATATATATATATATATATATATATATATATATATATATATATATATATATAATAGTATTAGAGTCATCGTGTTTTGAATAATTTTGTATAGTGATATCTAGTGTTATATTTAAGCTATGTGGCCTCTTGCAATAGCAATATTTTGCCCACAGCTGTGACTTCTCCTCGGAATTGTCGTCTCTCCTGATGTCACATCCCTTGACTCACCTCTTTTGATGTCACGTAGGCTGTACGACAGTTCGCACGATGTCTCAATGGATAAAACTCATAATACATTTCAACACCCTGTTTTAAAACATCTGTCTCATAATATCAGCCTTGTTCCAAACACACACACACACACACACACACACACACACACACACACACACACACACACACACACACACACACACACACACACATACACACACAGAAACATTCCGGTTGAATATTTTTATCACCAACTCCTGTCACATGATGTCACAGCCTCGAACTCACCTCAGCGGACGTCACTCCAGCCGCTCTGGAAAACCCGGCGTTTAGCGTCATCTTTTTCCGGAGTCCCACTGTCCGGATGAGACGGCGCTCAGCCGTCGGGAACCGGATAAAGTGCATATCTACCAGTTCCTGCTGAAGAACCGGCAGACTCCAGCGAGCCTGTGGGAGGAGACGGTTGTGAGTGTGTGGGTCTGGTAGCTGGTGAGAGCGAAGATACAGGGGGAGGATAGGGAAGGATGAGGTGTTAGGATAGATGAGGATGATAGAGGATAGAAGAGTGGTAAAGCGTCAATTGTGAAGCGGTTATAGCTGACCACAAACGTACGAATCTAGGCAGTCCACAAAACTTGTCAAAGTCGATTCTTATTAGCTCGAGTAAACGTCAGTATTACGTTGCTATTAAGTGTTATTAAAACTTTGGACTTTTAACGTGTGAATCTATATGTATTGTGTAAACAAATAGTCCGAAATGCAAACCTATAGTATGTACAATTACAAAAAAAAAAAGAAAAAAAATTAATCTAGGATGAACAACAACGTTCATTTAACTGTAAACAAAACAGAAATTATCTTAGAATAATGCACGGAAGCGATTCAAAGACTTTTATTATTAGACTTATATTAGACTTTTATTATTTGTATAATGAACACCAAGTTTCTCAGAAATGTTAGGCCATATCTGAAAAAACTTCGTGTCGATGGTCCCTGATAAAAGAGCTTGGACTTGAGCCAAAAAAAAATTTATATATATATATATATATATATATATATATAATTTGCACCATATTTTGGCTCCAGCTGAAGATTTTTTTACAATTTTTAATATAAGATAATTATTTAAACCCTTTAGAATTACCTCTTTTCAAAAAAGGAGACTTCCTTGTTACCTTAAATTTATGTAAATGGATAGAGGGTGGGGGAGGGGGGTGGTAGGCAAGAGGTAGGTAAGGGAGAACACATGGGAGTAAATACCCAACTAATTTAGTGGGTTCTTTATTATAGCGAGCTTCATTATGCTCAGCGAAATTAAAGGCAAATTAATTTAATGAAGCAATTCTTGCTCAGGAAGGCCTCGCGGTGCTCTGTCTCCGAGTCCATCGACCCCAGGAGAGCAGTATAGCACCATCTGCTCCTCCACCAACCAGGAACCACCACCTCCACCGGAGATTCGAACTCGGGCTTCAAAAGTACGAGACCATTATCGGAACAACCAGGCCATGGATGTTAGTGTGGGAAGATCTCAGATAATACAAGTGACAGTTAGGTACAATTTCCTCGTACTTTTGAGGCCCGTGTTCAAGGGGACTGTGGGAGACACTTGGGGACTGTGGGAGACACTTGGGGACTGTGGGAGACACTTGGGGACTGTGGGAGACACTTGGGGACTGTGGGAGACACTTGGGGACTGTGGGAGACACTTGGGGACTGTGGGAGACACTTGGGGACTGTGGGAGACACTTGGGGACTGTGGGAGACACTTGGGGACTGTGGGAGACACTTGGGGACTGTGGGAGACACCTGGGGACTGTGGGAGACACTTGGGGACTGTGGGAGACACTTGGGGACTGTGGGAGACACTTGGGGACTGTGGGAGACACCTGGGAACTGTGGGAGACACTTGGGGACTGTGGGAGACACTTGGGGACTGTGGGAGACACTTGGGGACTGTGGGAGACACCTGGGGACTGTGGGAGACACTTGGGGACTGTGGGAGACACTTGGGGAGTGTGGGAGAAACTTGGTAACTTCGAGAGACACTTGGGGATTGTAGAAGACACTTGAGGACTTTAGAAGAAGCTCATATGAAATATTTTGACTACAATGCACTTGAAAAAACCCTCCTTTCAACTCACACTCAGACCTTTTACGTCAGATATTTCACGAAATCGAAGCAGTTTTTTTTCTCCAACGAAAACACCTAACCTTGGCCTATGTATGAAGTCATAATATACGAAATTAATATATGAATTCTACCAATATTGGTAATTAACTATGATTAATTATATTATCTGCATGGGAGTAATATTAATCAAACTTCATACAATATAAATACATAATAAATCAACATTTTTCTCCTGTTAAGAAACCTCCATCGCCATACTCCGCTAAATTAAGTTTGACTAATTAGGGGTAGTTAAATTAGGATTGGTTAGATTAGGTTAAGGGATTTTTCATGACTTACTCATATCCTTCATTAACCTTAAATATCTTTACCTGAAACAAATTTGTCCAGAATCTTTAGAAAAACGTAAGTAGCTGTAAGGAGCAAGTTAGAATGTCAGATATATATATATATATATATATATATATATATATATATATATATATATATATATATATATATATATATATCGTACCTAGTAGCCAGAATGCACTTCTCAGCCTACTATGCAAGGCCCGATTTGCCTAATAAGCCAAGTTTTCATGAATTAATGTTTTTTCGACTACCTAACCTACCTAACCTAACCTAACTTTTTCTGCTACCTAACCTAACCTAACCTATAAAGATAGGTTAGGTTAGGTTAGGTAGGGTTGGTTAGGTTCAGTCATATATCTACGTTAATTTTAACTCCAATTAAAAAAAATTGACCTCATACATAAAGAAATGGGTAGCTTTATTATTTCATAAGAAAAAAATTAGAGAAAATATATTAATTCAGGAAAACTTGGCTTATTAGGCAAATCGGGCCTTGCACAGTAGGCTGAGAAGTGCGTTCTGGCTACTAGGTACGACATATATATATATAATATAAATGTTTGGAGCGTTATTTCTGGAATACAAAACGCAATGCATAAATATATAATCTCTTGGAAGCCAGTTTAATGCTAACATATTTTCGAATATTATTTTACTTTTTATACATGCATGTTGTAGGTCGAGTAATTATCAAAAGAATGCACTTATTCGAGTGTAGTAATTCAAGTTTATCACTCATAAGAGCGTGGACTTGAAATTACTACGTAAATCACCAGGACGAGTAATCAACCCTTTCCGAACAAGCCATCCAGTGTGTCAGATCGAATCGTCCAAAGTTATACAGACGAAGTTCAGGAATAACTCGAGACATGAAATGTCTTGAATCTCCCCTTCGAAGATGTCACAACTCCTTGTGAGTTATATTCCAGGTCTTCCCCGCAGAGGTTTAATTACTGGAAATGGACTCGGCTATCATTAGCAGAGAACAACGTTTACTCTCCAGAGAAACTTCTCATTTAACTGGTTAATTCAATCGTGAACTAGAGACTGTCATTCTCCTGGAGATGAAGATAGGGATTAGGGAGGTGAAGGAAATGGAGACGAGAAAGATGAGAAATATGAAAGACTTGAGAAGGGAACTAAGAATTAGGTAAAGATTAGGGTAAGTGAGTGGCAGGAGTCCGACAGAGAATAAGTTCAATCTCTCAGGGCATTTAACATGATAATCTTGGAGCTCCACCGCAATATTGGCTGGTACCAAAAGATCCCATCTACATCTACCCCCCCCCCTTCACTCTCATATCTCGTTTAAATCCATCATTTCTCACTCGTATGACGTTTAAACTCGCCATCTTTTACTCGTATCCCGTTTAAATCCACCACCTGTCACTTATTTACCGTTTAAATCCATCTCCTCTCATTCATATCCCGTTAAATGCCCCCTTTCACTCACATCTCGTTAAAATCCACCCCATTTTACTCGCATCCAGTTTAAATCCATCCCCTCTCATCCATATACCGATCCAATATTTTCTTATATCATATTACACTCTTTATCTTAACAATTCCAGCTGGCAGCCTGTTTCACTGATAATTAAACTTCTCTAATTCTAAAGTAGTACTAACCTAAATCCAACCTTAAGCAAAATTTCTCCAGCTTAGATCTATTGTTTTGCGTTTTCAGGACAGTTTCCAATTAGGTTAGGTTAGGTTAGGTTAGGGCTCTGACGCCCCTAACCTAATTGGAAATCGCGATTACATCCATCTTTGTATTACGACTTTCTAACAAGTTCAGACGGAGACATATTTGTGTCTTATTCTATATACGATTATATGTTCTGCGCTCCTTATATCTTCACTGATAATATAATCAATGACCTACCTTGAGGTGCTTCCGGGGCTTAGTGTCCCCGCGGCCCGGTCGTCGACCAGGCCTCCTGGTTGCCGGACTGATCAACCATGACGGGGCTGGCAGCTTCCTCATGGTTTTAATAATGGTTTCATCTGTTAATTGGCCTGAATGTTTGTATTTTTCTCATTACTTTCTCTAATTGGTCAAAAAAATTAATATTCTCGAGTATTGTTAGGAGTACAAATCTCATCGGTGCCCTGCTGTAGTTTGACAGTTAACAGCGTCATGATTCACTCCATGGAAATGGCATACAAATCTTGTATCACTCACGTGGAAGAAGCTGGTGGCGACGGCGGTGAGGGGCGGGGTGAGGAACAAGGGTTCATTCTCCAGCAGGAATTCGTCTACCCTGCCTTTGGTCCTGTTCCTAATGAGGTCGTTGACTCGCTGGCGGACCGTGGCGTCCAGATCGGCCGGATCCGCATCCTCAATCACGGCATCGTAAAACACTTTGATGGTCCGGGCGAAGAAGTCGGTGGAGTAGGGGTTCCTCTCCTGAAGGAGTGACAGAACGATGACAGGAAGGAATGGAGTAATTTGGGTCACTTTTTTAATAAGAGAGAAGGCAAGGGGAACTAATCGGAGCATTAAGCATGTCTTTCTTTACCGGAGGAGGTGAAGGGGAAAATAAGAGACCTGACAGCAAAGGCTAAGTTACTGAAGAAATAAGAAAGGCAAAGGTGAGGTGAGAAAGGAGGTCAATAGTGAGAAATGAAGCAGCAGTTTCTGACCGTAAGTGGAAAGATTCAATTTAAAGTCCGCGGAATAGCCTGCTCTCTCTCGCTCTCTCTCGCTCTCTCTCGCTCTCTCTCGCTCTCTCTCTCTCTCTCTCTCTCTCTCTCTCTCTCTCTCTCTCTCTCTCTCTCTCTCTCTCTCTCTCTCTCTCTCTCTCTCTCTCTCTCTCTTTCTCTCTCTCTCTCTCTGACACGGATGCGAGAGCGACAGAGACAGTCTCGCTTCATGCACTTCGCTGTTCAATCCTCGACAATGCAATTTTTATCGAGGTTGATATTGAACTATCTTTCCTATCACTGTTGAGGTTCATGAACGGAGAAACTTTAACATAACTGAACACATGTACTAAATTTACTTAAAGAACTCCAAATTAGCATTGCTGGTATTATATATTTCCTAGAAAACCCGTTGCCAATATATATGAGAGAGAATGACTGTCCAAGGTTGGAGGACAGATGCATGGAGCAAGCTTTACCCAACCTTCACAACATGAAGCATGTGGGGTAGGGGAGTGTCATAGGCCAGCCGGGGTCGGCTTCAGTGCCACACTTTTAAGAAATATCGGCATCAACAAAAAAAAAATACTGCGATTTCCATGAAGTCTGAATTATTGGTAGTGTTATCTGTAGACTTGTTTATCCATCTCAAATCTTAATATAATTTTTCTGAGAGAAAGAGGAGAGGGAGAGGAGGGGAAGGCTTCATTTATATTTACCATTTATATTTAACCATTTATATATACTTATTTTGCCTGCATGGTCGCTGTTAGCTCCTGGTCCCACATCTTTCTAACCGTCGATTATCAACTGAATTGACTCCAGAAGTATTTTTCCTCTATTGTCCAAAATTTGCTTGTCCATTTTAAAGAATGAAGAACAATTTCTATTTATACTCTAAGCTGCATCACTTATGAACCCATCCCTGCCCTTGTGTGGCAGTGCACAATAGAAAGTTGTTTTCACATATCCACACATTAAAACATTGATTGTAACCATGATATATATGTGCTTCAGCCTACAGTTTAGACCTATTGTCTTATGTATGACCCTCTGTCCTGCGTGACAGTGAATACTAGCATTAACCTCAATTTAATAAGACTATCAAAATCCTCAGATTAGGCAAAATTGTAATTAATTTTGTCAATAAAGATGTTAATAATAATAATGTATCTAAAATATATATATTTCTCTAACACATACATCTCCAGGATGCACGCGAAGTAACAGTCTAACTATCAGGTACATATTTACTACTACGTGCACAAGAGCATCAGATGAAAGAAACTCTGTCCATTTGCTTCTGCCTTAGCCGGGATTCGAACCTGCGCCTCAAGGGACTACGATCCTCAAGCGCTGTCCACTCGGCCTCTATATGTGTACTCACCTAATTGTGCTTGCGGGGGTTGAGCGTTGGCTCTTTGGTCCCGCCTCTCAACTGTCAATCAACAGGTGTACAGATTTCTGAGCCTACTAGGCTCTATCATATCTACATTTGAAACTGTGTATGGAGTCAGCCTCCACCACATCACTGCCTAATGCATTCCATCCGTTAACTACTCTGACACTGAAAAAGTTCCTTCTATTCTTTCCTTCTTCTGGAAGTTCCTTTTGAAAAGTTCCTTCTGTGTGTGTGTGTTTGTGCTTGTGAGTGGGTGCGTGCGCGAGCGATGACAGGCTGTATAGATTACATTTTTCCCTCTTACATACAAGTCATGTACTCAAAAAAAATAGTAGACACGACCTGGCTGACCTTCTCCACGAGGAACTGACTGAGAAGAGCAACGTCGTGGATGTCCTCCATCTCCTGCACCGCCTGAGTTACATTCTTGAGAATGAGGTGGGGGTTGAAGGTGTAGAACTTATCCATCTGCAGCAGGTCACTGAGGGCACCCGAGGAAGAGCCGCGAGCCCCAAGGAGTAGCATCCCGAGGGTGGAAATAAGACTCAAGGGTGACATGACAAAGTTCCTTCGCTTGTGCTGGCTAGCGGCCTGCTTGTACACCTGCGAAAGTAGGAGCAAAGTTAATATTTTGTTATCATTTCGCATTGTGTAAGGATAACATGATGATAATAATAATGATAACATTGTGTTATCATTTCGCAAGGAGCCTATAGGGAGGAAAAAGAAAATTTGATAAGTAAAGAGTATAGTGTCACGGGATGAGGTAGCAGGGATCACCAGGCCTACAGGCGTGGTATTTTTGGTACACGCAACCCGTTCTCCAAGTCCATTCCATCCAGAGGTCGACCCCAAAGACGCATTCATCAATTTTAACATTCTGCTCATTCAAAATAGGAATTTTCTCAAATATACATTAATATTATTATATAATGTGTATATTTAGGTACTGGTTAGGTTAGGTTAGGTTAGGTTAGGTTAGGTTAGGTTAGGTTAGGTGTTTTAGGTTCTGTTGGCGATTATTTTTATTACGTGGGTGAAGCATTTACAGCGTTGTGGTTCGAACAAAAGTCGTCAACGAAGCACTTGTTCCAGAAGTGTTCGGACGTCATCAGTTGTGAGTCGCTTGTAAACAGTTTTTCATTTAAAAACAAGTGGGGGGGTTGGCGGGTGCATAGAATGAACTTTGGCCTTTGTTTATGAAGACGGGCTGGTACACGACGGTGTAGGGAGAAACCAGTGACTGAACAACCCGTCAACGACTCCATTACATCCAGTGGTCCAGCCCGTCCTCCAAACAAAGACCCAAAAGTGATTCCATGTACCCGCCAAACACCCTGTTTATGAATGAAAAACGGTTTACACACGACTCACAGCTGATTTCATTTGAACACTTACGGAACAAGTGCTTCACTCACGAATTCTGTTCGAACCACAACGGTGTAAATGCTTCACCCACGTACTACAAATACAAATAATCGCCAACGGAACCTGAACACCTAACCTATGCCTATATATGCACAAAATGCTAATATATTATAATAATAATTTATATTTGATTAAATTCCTGTTTAGAATGAACAACATGCAAAAGTGTGTGAATGCGTCTGTGGGGTCGACCGCTGCATGTAATGAACTTGGAGACGGATTGGTATATAAAGGCTACAGCTGATGCAGGCGATGAGTCACAATAACGTGGCTGAAGTATGTTGACCAGACCACACACTAGAAATTGAAGGGACGACGACGTTTCGGTCCGTCCTGGACCATTCTCAAGTCGATAAAGCTACAGCTGATGATCGAGGTCAACAATTACATTAATATACAAGAATAATATACATTTACTCGATCGACGACGTTTCGATCCCTCCTGGACTATCTTCTTGAGATGATTTCGGGGCTTTTTTTTAGTGTCCCCGCGGCCCGGTCCTCGACCAGGCCTCCACCCCCAGGAAGCAGCCCGTGACAGCTGACTAACTCCCAGGTACCTATTTTTCTGCTAGGTAACAGGGGCATAGGGTGAAAGAAGCTCTGCCCATTTTTTTCTCGCCGGCGCCCAGGATCGAACCCGGGACCACAGGATCACAAGTCCAGTGTGCTGTCCGCTCGGCCGACCGGCTCCCCTATCCTCCCCTATAGTCGTGTTAGACTACACGACTATAACACACGACTTGATAATTCGGTCCAAAACAGACCGAAACGTCGTCGTTTCTTCATCTTCTGATGTGTAGTTTGGTCATTATACCTCCAGAGGTTGAAAGGCCTTAAACTTAACACTAAACCAAGTAGTTTATAGGACAGACAGATATATATATATATACGCTTACTGGTGATCCCCGCATATTGATACTTAATTCTTTGTAAATATAAAATTGAAAATGCATGTAATAATACAATTTTAATTTATATTAGGAAATTTTCCTTTTGAAATATTGTTTGAAAAGAATATACATTATTAGCGAGATTTATATTTGGAAGAAAGGAGTAAAATTCTCTCGTGTTCACCACCTCGGGGGCTTGAAGAATGTAATTTAATTTTGCTGTGTTGGTCAGCGAGTGGAGGAAGGGAATTGGATTCCTCTTGACGGAGTAGGAAAACAATGTTAACTATACAAAGGACAATTTGTTGTGTCGATGACTTAACTGGATTCAGTCGTGCAAATTGTGTCGTCTATACATACTTGGTGATAACTACTTCTCTATTCTAGTACCTATACAGCTTAACTAGAAATACAGATTTTAGACCATAGTAAATTATTTATCTAACGTCGTTCTGATGCCCAGAAGGTAATTACACGTATTTTGTACTTATCCTTTGTATTCATTTCTACATTACTTTTCGTTCTTTGTAAATGGTTTCATAATACAAAATTTTTATCCCTCATCAGAATCTTTCATCACATGGTATTTTCGGTGAGAATGAAAGTAATTGTTTTTAAACTCTTGGGACGTAAATTGGTTCAAATTAAAAATACAGGCTTATGATAATTGTAAAGATCTTTCCAAACAGTAAATCTCTTGTTCACGAATATGTAGAATACGTTTATTAAAAGGAGTAATACCGGAGATCCTCCCCCCCCCCCCTACCTTCACCAAGAGGAAGGGTAGCCTCCTACCTTATTTATTTATTTATTTATTTATTTATTTATTTATTTATTTATTTATTTATTTATATTCAAGAAGGTACATGGGGTTTGTGAGAATACATAGCATAGTATTTACAATCTTGTAAAGCCACTAGTACGCGCAGCGTTTCGGGCAGAAAGTGATATCGTTACCTTGAAAGTAATATCGTTCATGACATTTACGAACTCCCTAACATCGGGATGAAGGCCTTCGACGGAGGCCTCCAAGCCCGGGTTGTCTTCGGGAGCTTTCAGGAGTGTGGCTGTGGGCTCTGGAGGTCCCCCATGGTCCCCGTGGTCCCCGTGGTGGTGGTGGTGGTGGTCGTCATGGTGGTGGTCGTCATGGTGGTGGTCGTGGTAGGGACTCGTGGCGTTGGGTCCCGGGAAGTCCAGTTTATCCGTGCTATTCAGGGTGGGTCGCTTTTCTTGCATCACGTCGTAGTTGTAATAGTCCTGATGGGAAAGGGATTAATAAGATTCTCATTGTTAAGAGGTACAATGATAAAGATTGATAGATACATAGAGATAAAGAGTGAAAGGTAGTCAAGCAGACATTGGAAATGGAAGCAAGCAGATAGAGAAAGATACACGTACTCATCTGAACTGTCTGCTTTTGTCTGTTAATAAAATTTGCAAGTCTACTGCTAAATTTTACGGTCTCTGAAGCTAATAAAATGGTCTTTAAAAAATACAAACCATAAAAAAAATAATTCAAGAACCAGGCTGATTAAAATATTCACGAGTACAATTTACTGTGTCTGGAAAAATAATGAAAATATACTGAAACACTGACATCTTTTTTGGATGAATTTAAAAGATGATAGCTGGAATTTATTCTATTTCCTCTTTTATAATTGATTACTTTTTTTAGTGTCGTTATTTCACACAAATAAAGTCGCTCGTTATTTCAAAAGTATTGCATATTTAAATGAACAAATCCACAAGGGCCGTGACGAGGATTCAAACCTACGTCCGAGAGCATCCCAGACGCTGCATTAATCGACTGAGCTACGACATGGTATAACAATTGCAACCAGAAATTCTACTGAATTTACTTGGATTTTCTGTGTGTATTGCATATTGTCTTCTGACCTAGAATGATCTACACCCTTACCTCGGGAATGTTATCGAGGTAGACAGGTGAACCATAGTAATCATAGAAGTTGTCCCCTTCTGTCAGGTTCCCGTTGTTGACCTCTAGCGCCTCCAAATCAATCCGGTCTTGATAACCGCTATCAGCCAGCTGCGATGGTGGGAGGACGTTGGAGTCGCTGGCGCTACTGTCTATGTAGTTGGTGTCTGAGGAGTTTGGTAATGGTGCCGGTCGTGGTAGGTCTTGGTCAGCCAGTGAGGGTCGTGGTCTTAGTGGTGTGAAAGAAGTAATTGATGGGTATCGTGTGGCTGCAGGTGGTTGTGTCGAGTCCTGTGTGTTTGGCTCATTAGTGAAGTCAAATTGCGCTGTAATTCCTAAGATTGGTGGTTGTTGTTTGGTGGAGTCATCCAAAGAAGGCTCTTGGGTGGTAGTCAAATCCTGAGTAAGTGTATTTCTAATACCGAGGACATTATTTACAAGATTTTGTGTTTGGGTAGAAAGCAAGGAGGGTGTTGGTTGTGGAATTCCATCTTCAGTCAGGTTCCTAAGAGCCTCTTGGATCGATAAAGAAAACTCATTCTGAGGGCTATCAGGAGAGTTGGGTTCCGGACGGACCTCGAGAAACGATCCAGGGCCTTCATATGGACGTAAGGGCCGGTCTTGCTGGCTTGCAGTCAAAGAATTTGGCGCTTGAGTGCTGCTTGCGGGTACTTGCCCTTCAACTGGGATAATATCATAGGGACTGTCTGGTGAAGAGGGATTGCGAAGGTCAATGGATAGAACATTGTCATTGTCGAGGGAAATGGTTGTCCTGCTGGGTGCATTAGTTGCTGGTGTCAAGTTGTTATAATCGGGCTGTGTAAGTGCCATTGGACCTTCAGGGGTATTGATTCTATGTGAGGCTGAGGGTAACGTGGTGGCTCGTAAATGCTGTTTTAAAGTAGGTATTTTTTGAGTTGTTTCATCTATCGTGGGAATTTCAGTTGCTCTCTCTGTTGCAGAATAGACTGATGCAACAAATGGCGGAGGTTGAGTTCTAATAGAAGAGGTGGTCTGAGTGTCTTTCAGAGTTTCTGTAATTGGTGGCTCTGACATATGAGTGGTTTCAGAATCCTCGAGGAAGATATTTGTGGCAAAATCCATGAAAGCCGACTGGAATGGCGAGAGGGTTGAGGCATTAGTCTCTACTCTGTGTTGTATCGCAGTAGCCTCTCGAACTGGGCCATTGACCGTCGTTGTTAGACTCGTAGGCTGTGGAGACTCGTCGCTACTGTAGGACTGTGCATACAGGTCTGTGAGAGTTAAGAGCAGTGGGTCTCCTCTGTCGAGTTTGGTCGTTAGCAGGTTACTATTTTCCTCAGTTGTGATGGTAACTTGAAGTGGGTTGTTGGTCGTGAACGCTGAGACGGTCGAGGAGTCCTCCTCAACCTCTCCAGCACTGAGTGTTGTCATTCCACTCGAGTCCTGAGCATCACCTGAAGCGTTACCTATGTAATTCCACACATTTAGACTGTTAGAAGTGACATCATTTGGAATGACAGTCTCAGACAGTCCACCTGGCCTGGAATGATAATCATCAGTGAGATATAGATCATGCCGAGTACTCGACTCTCCTTCCTCGACTTCCAGAGATTGCTCGTTCCATCCAGGAAAACGACTGTTCCATCTGTTGTTATTCGGCCGATTAGTGGTCTGGTCGACACCATCTGGTGCCTCGGTGACGAAAACTTCCCTCGTAATTATATCTTGGAGAGTAGTAGAAGCCTCGGGGGTAATGGTGGTAGTAATTGTTGTAGCAGTGGTGGTTGTAGCAGACTGGTTCCTAGGAGACCCTGTGGTGGAAGCCTGAGTGAAGGCTGACGGGAAGACGGTGGTGACAGGCTGGTCTCTGGGAGACCCGGTGTATGCAGTCTGGGGAAGAGTGGACGGGACGTCGGTGACAGGAGTGACGGTCGAGGGAGACGGCCACGGGGTCGTGAGATGATGTGGGAAGCTGAGAAGGTTCTGCAGGATTGCCTCTGGGATCTCCATGGACTCCCCGGAGGGCTGGGTGAGGTCTGCTGGAAAGTTGGTCGGCTGTTGGTGATTCTGGGCGACCTCGGACGACACGACCTGCCAGAACCGATTCACATCTTAGATTTCAATATTTGATTTACTATTTTTTGTTTAAATCTTGGTATGAAAGTTAATCTATAAATTTGAAATTATGAAATTAAATGAAATTAAACCTATAATTTTGAAATTATGAAATTAAATTAAATTAAATCTATAAACATGAAATAAAATTAAATCTATAAACATTCCAACAATTAAATTTTTCTAATCAGCGACGACACACACACACACACACACACACACACACACACACACACACACACACACACACACACACACACACACACACAAGGGCCTCGAGGCTGAGTAGACAGCGCTCGGGGGTCGTAGTCCTAAGGGCCCGAGGATCGATTCCCGGCCGAGGCGGAAACAAATGAGCAGAGTTTCATTTACCCTGATGTGCCTGTTCAATTAGCAGTAAATAGGTACCTGGGAACTAAACAGCTGCCACGGGCTGCTTCCTGGGCATATGTGTGTGTGTCTGTGTGTCTGTGTTAGTAATAATTGTAGTAGATATAATAGAAGAAAAATAGATTGGTTAGGAAGAAAGGGTCCATGAGCTAATAGCTCGATTCGCAGACACAAATAGTAAACACACACATTCACACACAGGAAGAGGATAAAACAAACACAAAGATTTTTCTCGATTTTTTTTCGTAAATGCTGTTTTGCTTCTTTTTTCGAACTTTTTTCTTTCGAAAACAAGAGGATAAACGGTCCAAAGCATCCAACAGAAGCAAGCCGAGACTCACCTGTTGAACGGTAGAGATGACGCCCTGGATGCTGTCCTCAGGACGGGATGGGAGGGAAGGTCGAGGTTGGCTGATGGGGGTCAACTCTCCCCCTGTCTGAAATTGAAAGTTGACGCACGCACTTCCTTCTCCGAGAGGCCCAAGCTCGAACAGAAGATCCTGCGAGAGAGAGAGAGAGAGAGAGAGAGAGAGGGTGAAGTGGACAATAAAGAATAGGGAATTGCAGGAAGAGGAAAGAAGAGAAAGGGGGAGATGGCAAAAGGAAGGAGAGAGAGAGAGAGAGAGAGAGAGAGAGAGAGAGAGAGAGAGAGAGAGAGAGAGAGAGAGAGAGAGAGCAGTGTTATTGGCATGGTAGCGAAAAATAAAATTTACACAATAGCTACAGAATCCAAGAAGGCTCAATGCCAGTTCAATGTTGAATTTACAATGTTTTTGTGTTGAATTCGTGTTGTTGTTAGCTATTGAAGCCACTTGGATATATGTACCAGGTGACGGATAATGTCAGCAAACTTATGTGTTTTATATATATTTTGGTACATTATAAATTAAAAAAAAATCTCCATTACACATTACTTGTAACACAACATATTAATAGCTAGCATAATTGTACAATCAATATTGCGCAATCAATTAGATTGCAAAACATTGCTTATAATATTCTATAAGCAGTTATTGCTTATATTATATTCTATAATATAAGCATTAACTTATATTAACGTTATGCTAACATTAACATAACCACATTAACATTATTCTTAATAATAAAGCAAAAATGGGTTATAATTAAAAATAATAATAATTAAATTCTAGTTCTTTATATAATTTACAAACGCATCAAAACGGAGATAGATTTGTATTAACCTAACCTAGCAGTCATCCCCAACTGCAGCAACCCGAGTTTTGTCCATTCATATTGTCCAGTACCCTGATTCCTTAGGGGATTATCACCCTACACCCTGATTCCTTAGGATAATCCACAAACCCTGATATATTAGTATTATAGACCAACACCCTGATGCATTACCCAACACCCTGATTAGGTAGGGCTTAAAACCCGAAACCCTTCGATTCATTAGGGCAATAACCCTACCCCTCTGATAAGGTAGGGTTTTATCCTAACACCCCTGATTCATTAGGGAAATAACCCTACACCCCTGCCACTTTCCTCCCCACCACACCTGTATTTCCTGGAGAGAGATCCACTTCTGAACCAGCTGTCTGTCCACACCATACACATAGAACTGGAATCTCTTGAGACCATCTGGGATAACTGGACGCTCTGGATGCTCTGAACGCAGGCGGTCTGGAAGCTGTTGCTCCGGTAACGAGGACGCTTCGAGCGGTTGCCTAGGCGACGCCCACCTGGGAGGGAGGGGGAGACGGAAAGGGAACGATAAGGGTATTAGCGGTGCAATTAAACTTTGGAGTTTGAGGTGGAAAGGAAGGTTTTGAAGCGGCGGTGTGAGGCCTGTGAGAGATTATAAAGTGTTGTTTTGGTAGTAATTTTGAGCCCCTGACGCTCCCCATGGCGTATAGGAACTTTTTTACCCCCCTTATGAAGTCCAGGATAATCTTACATTCCCCCTATGAAGTATAGGATAATCTTACCTTCTTTCTATGGAATACAGGATAATCTTACCCTCGCTCTATGGAATACAGGGTAATTTTACCCTCTCCCTATGGAGTACAGGATAATCTTACCTTCGCTCTATGGAGTACAGGATAATCTTACCCTCGCCCTATGGAGTACAGGGTAATTTTACCCTCGTCCTATGGAATACAGGATAATCTTACCCTACATCCGGTTTACAGGATAATCTTACCCTACATCCGGTTTACAGGATAATCTTACCCTACATCCGGTTTACATGATAAACTTTCCTTCATATGACGTACAGGATCATTTAAAACCTTTCTGTAACATACATAATAATCTCAGTCTCCCTTTTATATACAAGATCCCCTTAATCTTCCTATGATGCAAGGGATCATCTCGACCTCCTTTTGGTGTACAGGATCCTTTTAACGTCCTTCGTATGTTGATGAACCCACCTCGTGAGCCATTTAAAAATGTTCAAACATCCAAGCTGTTGTTGTCTTAGTATGATATCAACTGATTTGGCCTACTCCATGCTGGCGCAATGGCAAAACTTAACCCAGAGCTTCGAGAGCGATTTCGGATGGGTTCGTGTCCTGACTCGGAGATAATTTGTCCGCCATTCCTTAACTGTTTGCATCTGTTCACCCAGCAATATTTAGGTACCTGTTTTTTTTTTAGCCGATTCGAGCGTCGTGTTCCAGGGAAAACTAGGATAAGGCTTATCATAAGCTATGGGAAGGGAGAGCGCTCAGTATCCTAATAGGATTCAGAAGTCGTCTGTTCATGTATCCACCTCTGGGCCTGGAGGCTGAGTAGACAGCGCTCGGGATTCGTAGTCATAAGGTTCCGAGTTCGATCCCCGGTGAAGGCTGAAACAAATACGCAGAGTTTCTTTCACCCTGAGGGCCCCTGTTCACCTAGCAGTAAATAGATACCTGGGAGATACACAGCTGCTACGAGCTGCTTCCTGGGGGATGTGTAACAAAAAGAAGGCCTGGTCGAGGACCGGGCCGCGGGGACGCTAAACCCCGAAATCATCGCAAGATAACCTCAAGATAACCCGTGAAAAAACAGAAAAGGCGCGTAGGTGTTATGCAAGAAACGCAATTATACGCCATTAATGGCTATTACCATCGCCTGAACACAGTTTGAATCCAGATCAATTACAGAAATGAAGTTGCCTCATATCTTGAGGTTATCTTGAGGTTATCATATGGTGTGTTATGGTAATCAGTAAATGTAGATAAGTTGAGTCTTGAGGAGCACATTATTCTCTCCAAGGGAGCTTAAAATGCAATCTATGGGCACCATCACTATGGGCTTTTTTCTTACTCAAGTAGCGTTAAAAAAGAGGTAATTATGTTCTAATGGAAAATTTGTATTGTACAACTAGCTGAGGAATTCAGTCTTTCCCGTGTGAAGAACGCGGGTTCATATCTTCACTACACAAAATTTCCTTCATTGCAGCATCTTGACAACTAAGGTCTGCTAGCTCTCCCAAGTCTAGAATCCACAGAGCACTGGTCTACTTCGGAGAGTTCCGTTATTATAATTCTTATTTGCAAAATTTTAATCCAATATTTCTACTATTAATTTTTTTATATAATTTGTTAATGTACTTTGACTAATAATATTAATATGAATTAAAAAGTTATGAAAACAAATCGTGTATTAAACTTGATTATTTGTTGAATATTTTATTGTCTGCGTCGAGGAAAAGGAATGAAGACTCAAATTGAATGACGGATAAGCTGGAGAGAGAGACTCAAGAATTTATTACATAGATGACTGAAATCCTTGAGAGAAACCACTGTGGTGAGGGCTGTGGGCCTCCCAGCTCTTCTCTCAATATTTTTACTTAATTTTCTATTCGGATTCCAGCCTCATATTAGAGATACATCGAGAGGTATTGCATTGAATTTTAAAAAGCAATGCAGTAAGGGAAATAAAATGCAATAAAAATAAAACATTTTACTTTTCTGGTCTCGTTTTCATTTCTCTCTCTCTCTCTCTCTCTCTCTCTCTCTCTCTCTCTCTCTCTCTCTCTCTCTCTCTCTCTCTCTCTCTCCTCTCTCTCTCTCTCTCTCTCTCTCTCTCTCTCTCTCTCTCTCTCTCTCTCTCTCTCTCTCTCTCTCTCTCTCTCTCTCTCTCTCTCTCTCTCTCTCTCTCTCTCTCTTCTCTCTCTCTCTCTCTCTCTCTCTCTCTCTCTCTCTCTCTCTCTCTCTCTCTCTCTCTCTCTCTCTCTCTCTCTCTCTCTCTCTCTCCCTCTCTCAATATCGCGTCTAATACGAATGTTATTTCGGAAGCTATTTAACACAAAATAGACGAGATTCACTTTAAAAAATGTCTGTTTTATAATCTTACTGCTGAGCTTAAAACTGCAAGGTGCTGGACATTTATTGATACCTTAGAAAATTGATGAGTTAGTTTATCTTCTGTAGTATATCAAAGTGTTGCACTTTATCTCCATTCGACAGACATTTTATCATCTTATATATCAGAAGATATATATATATATATATATATATATATATATATATATATATATATATATATATATATATATATATATATATATATATATATGTCGTACCTAGTAGCCAGAACGCACTTCTCAGCCTACTATGCAAGGCCCGATTTGCCTAATAAGACAAGTTTTCCTGAATTAATATATTTTCTCTAATTTTTTTCTTAAGAAATGATAAAGCTACCCATTTCATTATGTATGAGGTCAATTTTTTTGTATTGGAGTTAAAATTAATGTAGATATATGACCGAACCTAACCAACCCTACCTAACCTAACCTAGCCTATCTTTATAGGTAAGGTTAGGTTAGGTAGCCGAAAAAGTTAGGTTAGGTTAGGTTAGGTAGGTTAGGTAGTCAAAAAAACAATATTTCATGAAAACTTGGCTTATTAGGCAAATCGGGCCTTGCATAGTAGGCTGAGAAGTGCGTTCTGGCTACTAGGTACGACATATATATATATATATATATATATGTCGTACCTAGTAGCCAGAACGCACTTCTCGGCCTACTATGCAAGGCCCGATTTACCTAATAAGCCAAGTTTTCCTGAATCAATATATTTTCTCTAAATTTTTTCTTATGAAATGATAAAGCTACCCATTTCATAATGCATGAGGTCAATTTTTTTTATTGGAGTTAAAATTAACGTAGATATATGACCGAACCTAACCAACCCTACCTAACCTAACCTAACCTATCTTTATAGGTTAGGTTAGGTTAGGTAGAGGAAAAAGTTAGGTTAGGTTAGATTAGGTAGGTTAGGTCGTCGAAAAACAATTAGTTCATGAAAACTTGGCTTATTAGGCAAATCGGGCCTTGCATAGTAGGCTGAGAAGTGCGTTCTGGCTACTAGGTACGACATATATATATATATATATTTTATTAAATATGACCGAAAAAGTAAGATTAATAATTCTAACACGAATTTTCTCAATCTTTCGTACATTATGCTTCACTGTTGGAGGTAAATCAAAAATCACTTCTCCAAAATTCATTTTTATTTCTAGTCTGACGCGACACGGGCGCGTTTCGTAAAACTTATTACATTTTCAAAGACTTCACAAATACACAACTGATTAGAACTTGCGTTTCCCTGATTTTATATCTACATTTGAGTGAGGTGGGAAGGGTGATGTGGCATTACATTTGAGTAAGGTGGGAAGGATGATGTGGCATTAGAGGATATTAATAGGGTATTAAAAGTATCAACACAAGACAGAACACGAAACAATGGATATTGAATAGAAGTGTTTGTAGAAAGCCTATTGGTCCATATTTCTTGATGCTTCTATATTGGAGCGGAGTCTTGAGGTGGGTAGAATATAGTTGTGCAATAATTGGCTGTTGATTGCTGGTGTTGACTTCTTGATGTGTAGTGCCTCGCAAACGTCTAGCCGCCTGCTATCGCTGTATCTATCGATGATTTCTGTGTTGTTTACTAGGATTTCTCTGGCGATGGTTTGGTTATGGGAAGAGATTATATGTTCCTTAATGGAGCCCTGTTGTTTATGCATCGTTAAACGCCTAGAAAGAGATGTTGTTGTCTTGCCTATATACTGGGTTTTTTGGAGCTTACAGTCCCCAAGTGGGCATTTGAAGGCATAGACGACGTTAGTCTCTTTTAAAGCGTTCTGTTTCGTGTCTGGAGAGTTTCTCATGAGTAGGCTGGCCGTTTTTCTGGTTTTATAGTAAATCGTCAGTTGTATCCTCTGATTTTTGTCTGTAGGGATAACGTTTCTATTAACAATATCTTTCAGGACCCTTTCCTCTGTTTTATGAGCTGTGGAAAAGAAGTTCCTGTAAAATAGTCTAATAGGGGGTATAGGTGTTGTGTTAGTTGTCTCTTCGGAGGTTGCATGGCTTTTCACTTTCCTTCTTATGATGTCTTCGATGAAACCATTGGAGAAGCCGTTATTGACTAGAACCTGCCTTACCCTACAGAGTTCTTCGTCGACTTGCTTCCATTCTGTAGGGTAAGGCAGGTTCTAGTCAATAACGGCTTCTCCAATGGTTCATCGAAGACATCATAAGAAGGAAAGTGAAAAGCCATGCAACCTCCGAAGAGACAACTAACACAACACCTATACCCCCTATTAGACTATTTTACAGGAACTTCTTTTCCACAGCTCATAAAACAGAGGAAAGGGTCCTGAAAGATATTGTTAATAGAAACGTTATCCCTACAGACAAAAATCAGAGGATACAACTGACGATTTACTATAAAACCAGAAAAACGGCCAGCCTACTCATGAGAAACTCTCCAGACACGAAACAGAACGCTTTAAAAGAGACTAACGTCGTCTATGCCTTCAAATGCCCACTTGGGGACTGTAAGCTCCAAAAAACCCAGTATATAGGCAAGACAACAACATCTCTTTCTAGGCGTTTAACGATGCATAAACAACAGGGCTCCATTAAGGAACATATAATCTCTTCCCATAACCAAACCATCGCCAGAGAAATCCTAGTAAACAACACAGAAATCATCGATAGATACAGCGATAGCAGGCGGCTAGACGTTTGCGAGGCACTACACATCAAGAAGTCAACACCAGCAATCAACAGCCAATTATTGCACAACTATATTCTACCCACCTCAAGACTCCGCTCCAATATAGAAGCATCAAGAAATATGGACCAATAGGCTTTCTACAAACACTTCTATTCAATATCCATTGTTTCGTGTTCTGTCTTGTGTTGATACTTTTAATACCCTATTAATATCCTCTAATGCCACATCATCCTTCCCACCTTACTCAAATGTAATGCCACATCACCCTTCCCACCTCACTCAAATGTAGATATAAAATCAGGGAAACGCAAGTTCTAATCAGTTGTGTATTTGTGAAGTCTTTGAAAATGTAATAAGTTTTACGAAACGCGCGCCGTGTCGCGTCAGACTAGAAATAAAAATGAATTTTGGAGAAGTGATTTTTGATTTACCTCCAACAGTGAAGCATAATGTACGAAAGATTGAGAAAATTCGTGTTAGAATTATTAATCTTACTTTTTCGGTCATATTTAATAAAATATGTCTACAGGAAAGACTGCTACCAAAATATACTAATATATATATATATATATATATATATATATATATATATATATATATATATATATATATATATATATATATATATATGGAAAATGGAAATGAAAAAGAATTGTTGTGGTTTCGGCTTATGGAATGTCGTAAATATGGAAACACCAGTGATGTTTTTTTTCATCAGTTAAAATAAATTTGACCAAAGTTATGACTAAGTTAGCGCTCTTGGTTTGCAAACGTAGAAGTTATATTAGATTATAACTTCATGAAGGCATTTGCAGTTTTTGTTTGCCTTTTAGAATTAACAGTTTTTGTAACGGAGTTTGAAAAATTAAAACTATATATATATATATATATATATATATATATATATATATATATATATATATATATATATATATATATATTATATATATATATATATAATATATATGAGGGCTTAATTACATATATATATGAGTGATACTGGCATTATAATGGCATCCATTGGAGGAGACAATGTACTTTTAACTTTTTGTGTGTGTGTATTCACCTAGTTGTGCTTGTGGGGGTTGAGTTCTGCTCTTTCGGGCCCGCTCTCAACTGTCAATCAATCAATTGTTACTAACTACTAACTTTTTTTCCTCCTCATACACACACACACGCCTAGGAAGCAGCCCGTAACAGCTATCCAACTCCCAGGTACCTATATACTGCTAGGTAACAGGGACATCGGGGTTGAAAGAAACTCTGCCCATTTTGTTTCTGCCATCACTGGGGGATCGAACCTTGACCTTAGGATTACGAGTCCAGAGCACTGCCCATTCAGCTATCAGGGCCTCCTTGTACATGTGTATATGCACACAATGTATATGTGTTTAAGCCACACATACGTCTGTGTGTATGTGTCTTTATGTATTTCATCACTAATCATCTAATATAACAGGGTATTATTATCCTCTCTATTTACTCGTATCTACATTAGCTTCAGTTTCCTTCAGTATCAGGAGCTCCACTTTAAGATGATTGGCTTCAGCAGCCACCCTGGAAACACAAACCGAAACTGTCTCTATTTTCCGCTTGTTACAACTTGAAATAAAGTTGTTACATCTTGGCTTAACGTGTTTATGACGTATTAGAACGTTGTTATAACTTGCTATATTGGTTGTTATAACTGGTTAGGTGTTGTTAAAACTTGCTCGAACGTTGTACCAACGTCGTAGTTTCGGTGTGTGTTTGGTGGGCATCTGGTCCTGCGTTCTTTTAATTAATACCGACATATTTTCAACGCCTCTTGATGGTATAGATTTTTAATTTCGTTTTAATTGAAATGACATAAAAATCAGGTTTACTTTTTTTAAAATTCGTCACTTTTTTTTTACCATTGTCATAGTTTTTTTTTAGCTTATTTCTATATTTTTTTAACTTCATTATTATCCATCGTTTGCACCATTGTCATAGGTTTTTTAGCTTATTTCTATATTTTTTTAACTTTATTATTATCCATCGTTTTTGTCGTGCACATCTAGTACACGACAAAGAAAATCGTCTTTACAAACGACAAGTTCTGTATCGTTTGCGTTTGAGGATATCACTGCTATCATGTGTAATATAGAATGTACAATATATGGTAAATTGTGATCAAGGATTGTGATCAATGTCATCAATGATTCCAATTTTTTTTCAAGTCGACATGAGATGACAGAAAGAATAATGTCAAGGTATTAATTCTCAATGGAAAAGTTGATTAAAATTACATTCAAACATCATCATCGATCTGAAGCCAATTGATTAATTTTGGAACACTCTTACTGAAGGTAAACCGCCGTCTGCTCTCCCTGGAACACTCTTACTGAAGGTAAACCCCCGTCTGTTCTCCCTGGAACACTTTACTGAAGGTAAACCGCCGTCTGCTCTCCCTGGAACACTTTACTGAAGGTAAACCACCGTCTGTTCTCCCTGGAACACTTTACTGAAGGTAAACCCCCGTCTGTTCTCCCTGGAACACTTTACTGAAGGTAAACCACCGTCTGTTCCCCCTGGAACACTTTACTGAAGGTAAACCCCCGTCTGTTCTCCCTGGAACACTTTACTGAAGGTAAACCGCCGTCTGCTCTCCCCGGAACACTTTACTGAAGGTAAACCACCGTCTGTTCTCCCTGGAACACTTTACTGAAGGTAAACCCCCGTCTGTTCTCCCTGGAACACTTTACTGAAGGTAAACCCTTGTCTGTTCTCCCTGGAACACTTTACTGAAGGTAAACCGCCGTCTGTTCTCCCTGGAACACTTTACTGAAGGTAAACCACCGCCTGTTCTCCCTGGAACACTTTACTGAAGGTAAACCACCGTCTGTTCTCCCTGGAACACTTTACTGAAAGTAAACCCCCGTCTGTTCTCCCTGGAACACTTTACTGAAGGTAAACCGCCATCTGTTCTCCCTGGAACACTTTACTGAACATAAATCGAATCTTTCCACCATGGAACATTTTATTGAAGTGTACCGAGGATTATTAAAGCAACAACAAATCCCTACAAACCCAAAAGCAAGTATACTTTAGTCCTGAACATGGTCCTGTATAAAGTAAACTCTCAGTGAATATACACTGATAAACGTGGTAGATTTCTACGTGTATATATATCCCAGTGTAAAGGTAACGGGTCAATATCCCTGGGGCCAGATTCACGAAGCAGTTACGCAAGCACTTACGAACGTGTACATCTTTTCTCAATCTTTGACGGATTTGGTTACATTTATTTAACAGTTTACAAGCATGAAAACTTCCCAATCAACTGTTGGTATTGTTATAAACAGCCTCCTGGTGCTTCGGGGTTCATTAACTGTTTAATAATTGTAAACAAAGCCGCCTAAGATTGAGAAAAGATGTAAAGGTTCGTAAGTGATTGCGTAACTGCTTCGTGAATCTGGCCCCTGGTGTCCGGTTTTTCGTGTGTTTCCAAGGAAACTCAATCTCCCTTCTACAGCGTCCTGATGGGTATATCGCACGCTCTGATCAGCCGTGTTGAGATCGGCCCGCATAATCTTCCCGTTTCCATCAGATACAATGAGGTAACACAAATTTATTTTTTTCAGCGTTCCTCATCTTTTACCGAAAGGCTGGTTTAGGCAGAGCGCGGAGCTGCGCGCAGGACAGATTCCGTTACCATACACACCGCAAATTGGAATTCGATGAAGGAGACGCCAAACTGGTTCATGTGTTTGCCACGAAGCTGGTCGTCTGGAAGTCTATCACTCATAAATTCCGTTTCTTCGCCGTCATGAGGAGGGAGCCAACGGTCTGCTGCTTCTCCTCCTCCTCCCTCATGTCTCCAGAAAGCCAGAAGGATCGTTTATCATATCCAATGCTCCTAAATCACATCTTTAGTAAACCTTGCCATAATAAATCTACCTTTTATCTTATAACAATAACTTCGCCAAGGGTAAACAAAAAATATTAAAGACTACCGTTACAAATCTCTCCAATGACCAACTAGTCAGCAGAAACTAAATTTACAGAGAAATAAAGCCTACATTGTAGTCCTTTGTCGGGGCTCTGGACCCCTTTCAACGCGTCCAATTCAACTCCGGCGACACTTACCCCAGAACAGCAGAAGGGTTGGAGTGGCTGGAGTCTGCCAGGGATGCTGGACTTCCTAGCATCGTCAGGAGAGCAAATAACACCTGATGAAACGACTGTTGCATCCTGAAGGCCATTCCCTGTGGAGAGAGAGAGAGCGCGAGAGTAAGGACAAGCTGAACAAGTGACTTCGTGATGAATTATTCAGTAAGAGTTAATTGGGCTAAGAGTAATTAGTTAATGAGCAAGTGGAGAAGCTGACGGAATGAGTAATTAAAGATCTCGTCTGAAAAAGAGGTGGAAATGATGATGGGGGCGAGGTGAGAGAGAGACCTGAGTGATATGTTACAGTTTTAAGTTTATAAGTCATTTAAGAGAGCCCAAGCATGTGGAAGTTGAGCTAGTCTTTGTTAGTTACGATATTTTATGTCAATTAACAATGTTTTCCTTCATTTTAAGTTGTGTCAGTTGCGTTATCTTAGAATCTCTCAAAATGTCTAGCGATTTAAGAAGTACGTTTTATATGCGACTTATTTGTTTGAAAGTGCGGCTTAATTTGAAATAGAACATTACACCAAAATTTGATTCCATGTCTGAGGAGGAACGAGGTCACACAACTAGTATGTAGTAATGTGCATCTACTTACACTACCCTTCGCCTACCCTTCATCACCATCTGTATTCTGCACCTTCCCTACCCTTCATCACCATCTGTAATCATCACCTTCCCTACCTTTCATTACCTTAAGTATTCCTCACTTTCCTTAAAATTCATATTACCTATCTTTATCTTCATGAGGTTATCTTGAGGTGATTTTGGGGCTTAGTGTCCCCGCGGCCCGGTCCTCGACCAGGCCTCCTTTTGATACACACCCCCCTGGAAGCAGCCCGTAACGGCTGTCTAACTCCTAGGTACCTATTTACTGCTACGTGAGCAGGGGGGCATCAGGGTGAAAGAAAATCTGCCAATTTGTTTCCGACTCCACCGGGGATCGAACCCGGAACCTTAGGACTACGAATCTCGAGTGCTCTCCACTCAGCTGTCAGGCCTCCCCCTTCACCACATTCCCTACCCTTCACCACATTCTCAACCCTTCCCTACTTTTAATCATCTTCCTTAAAGACTATCATCATCAATAAACAAACTTTTTCCCTCTTCCCACCCTCATCCACTCCTCTTCCCCTCTTCTATCCCTCTTATATAACCCCCCCTCATCTTTCCCCTTGGTTCCCTCACACTCTTCCCCCATCCTCCCTACCCTCTCAGAAAATTTATTATTACGAAGCACTGTAACTGCTCAACAAATCTATGGAAAACTCAACAAATATTTCAGGCTTGATGAAAATCGCACGCCCATGACACGTCCCTACCCAACCTTGAAAAAAAAATCTTAGATACAGATAACGCAATTCTCTCCACATCCCCCATAGGTATCTAAAAGTGCAGAATTTCTTCTGACTTGGCTAACTTACAATTTTGTGGGGGTCACCAATGGAGCCGATTCCCTTTTAATGGACGCAATGGGGGACGACCTTGACCTACCTATGTCAGCCCCCCCCCCCCACATTACCAGCCATCATGCAAAGCGTGGCCACCAATGTCGGAAAACTCGACACCATTTACTGATATTAAATACAATATGCAGATAATATTGCTGCTGTTGTGTAAATAACAAATTAACCTTAGAAATAGTGTTTATTCATACTGAAAATGAAGCACAGTGGAAATTTCCGTCAATAGAAAATGGGATATGATTGCCACATGTCGCTAATAATTCACTAGCTAATTCTGTCGAGAACATTCTTAATATAGCAGCATTTGGACTGTAATCATCATAAGAATATCTTACTTCAATCAACTTAATTATTATTACCAAAATAGAGTAAATGTGACCTTCCTACCTCTTAATTAATAAATTAAATAAAAAAAGGGGGCATTATCTTCAAATTTGGCCAAAATATGCATTAAGGGGGCATTTCCCTCCTGGACAAAAAGTTGTTCAATGTCAACCAATATTTTTTGACTATTTGTACATGAAAAGGGCTGCAATTGTCCCAAGTTTCAGTACTGCAGCGAAAATAGAAGGGGAGATTTTTTGTTTTTTTGTTTTTTTTTCAACGAAGTTTACACATTTTCAAAATTTATTGACATCTGGACAAGAGTCAGGGTGTGGGTGGAGGAGAGCGGCCAGTAATTGTTAGACCAGAGTCGCGGGAGCAGAACAGTTCCAATAATATTCCATTGGACGAAGTGTTATGGAGACTAAATTAGTACTTCCATCAACGAGTTTCCGTGGTGTAGTGGTAAGACACTCACCTGGCGTTCCGCAAGCGCTTTGTCATGGGTTCGTATCCTGGCCGGGGAGGATTTACTGGGTGCAAATCCTTAACTGTATCCTCTGTTTAACTAAACAGTAAAATGTGTACTTGGTTGTAAAAACGATTCTTCGTGGGGGTCGTATTCCAGGGACCTGCCCGAATCGCTAAGCGTTCTAGTGGCCGTACAAGAATGTAACAACTCTTGTATATATCTCAAAAAAAAAAAAAAAATGCAGTCATCATCTAAACAGGGAAATGTCTTTCCGAAATCTTATCGAGTCATTCATGGCCAGTAATGTTAGGTAGATAAAATTATTTTCAGGTTAGAACACGCGACAGCGACATAACCCAGGCAATTATTCCTTGGTCTTTATCTTATAATTAATTACCAATATATAGGCTCATATAGCTGTCATATATATAGGATTACTGCTATTATTGCAAGTGCCATTCGACAGGTTTAGCAGAAGAGGAACAAGAATTAATCCTAGAACTACAGTACATTAGTTGGAGGCCAGCCACACCCACAAATTGGATCGTCTGGCTTATTCATCCGTGTTCCTACTGGTTGACTAGGCACACTACCATACAATAAGATATTTTTATTACACCCTATTTTTAATTACTAATATATGTAGTCTAACACTGTAGTGAATGTCTGCTAATCAATAGTTTTGATTAACTACATATAAACAATATAAATCCCCATAATGTGTAAGGTGACCGATGTGTAAAGATATTTTAGAAATACAGTCCACTAAACATCACACAATTTGCTATCGAAATATATAAACCTAAAATATAAATTCTATATAAATTCATATAAATTAAATCAATATAAATCTCACAGGTCGGTTCCCCACAACCAATCTCAAATGGACAGAAGCAGCCAATGCTATGCGAATTTTAGAGCTTAAACTCAATTATCGGGACAGTGAGTAACTAACTTTTTCAATCTATAGATGGCAGTTCACCATCCCCCATGAGTCAAAATTATTCCCCATGGAGGAAATAATATGTTTAAGAAGTTTGTGTCTCACGAGTCTTGATGCATTCTTGTCGCACTAAATTATATTCTTGTTGCAAATTGAACATTGTTGCAATATTAGCAACATATGCGGGACGGTAATGTATTATTTTGAGGTTTAAGAGATGAAACTTAAAGGGGGTTAAAGAAGGTTTAGAGTGAACCAGAGAGGAATCTTCAGGGCGTTAACCGGGGTTCAGAATGATTTAAAGGGAATCTTAGAGCATGAACAGAGGTTCCGAGTGAGCCAGAAGAGGATCTTAATTGATCCATGAAAATGAGGCGTCAGTGGATAAATGGATCTTAAAGATCACTGTATGGGTAAAAGTGTTGAGTCTGTGATTGAAAGGCGTTATATCCTTTAGTGGATGGATGGAAGTTACGGATAAAGGATAGAAGCCATTATCTGATTATTGGATACATGAAATATGGTTAGTCAGTGGACGAAACTGTGAAATCACTAGAAGGATAAAACTATTAAGCCAGTGGACAAAAGTAACTATTTGGCCAGTGGATAAATGGAACAGGTTATGTCGATGGTTGTAGGAAACCTGTTGTGCCAGTGGGTGGATGGGTGGAACTGTTACTGTCATTTAAATATTATATATTTTAGGCTGAGTCGTAACTCTGATGCCTTAATAATGCCTCTAAATCTCACGCATGTCACTCAAAGAACCGGCTACAAGAATAGAGAAATGTATAGAAGAGAACACGAGGAAAGTAAGGCAAATAGTCCAGACAGACGAGGTAGTTTGGTGGAAAGTGAGGAAGTACGCAATGAAAACTACCCCTTTAAATTCTACTCGCAACTATCCACATAAGGCACAGTTATCTCCTAAGCTAAGATAATGGGTCTTTATAAGAGAAGGCAACAGAAAATGGAGACGCAGCCTTAAGGAGTTCAGGGATAACTAACCTAGAAATGGATTAAGTGCCTTGCGCCACCGAAATGATGACAGAGAAATTGCTATCCGGCTCTGATAATTCTTCGGGAGTTGATCGGAAATGGGAGAGAAAATTGGGTTTGTGGTAATGGATCAGTGCTCGGTGCATGAGGGAGGAAGAGAAGACTGGGATAGGAGTTTGGAAAGTAGAATCAAAGGAATAGGGGACAAGCAGAGACACGAACCATGAGAGGATAAAAAAAGATAAGAAACGGTTATTGGAGAGGGTGGAAAGGTTAGCGATGTAAAGTTAAAGCTGGAGTAAGAGAGAGGGAAGAAGACGTCGTGAAGGAAATCTATGATGTAAGACAATGGATGAGATAGAGGGAGTTAATAATAACTGCAAGAAGTTACCAAGGGCTTTAGAAATTCATACCATACACTCTGAACTGTGTGATCTGTCCGGCTTGGGGTTGGGGGCCTTCTTTTGATAATTACTGCCTCGTCCCGCCCTGACTCGCCTTATGTCTTCCTATTTCTCTATCCGTCACTACACATCTTAACAGAAACTTTGCATCGAAAAAGGATTTAGAACATTCAAACAAACTCGTGTTGTTTCTTGCATCCCATTAAAAACCAATCATGTATCCAGATATTTCAATTCACAACATACCAAACATTGACTACCAGCAAAAGTAGCAACTCTGCCAACTACTCCCATTACCGAAATGCATGAGTTGTCAAACATCGACCAGCAGCAGCTGGTCTAACAACCACTCCTAGGACAACCCTACCAACATCTCCCATTACAGAAATGCATGACTTTTCTCCCATACCGTTACAGTGCTCTTTTTACATTAATCATTTGTTCATTCTGCAGCATATGATACAAGGCTAAATTATCCAGTGGG